TGTTCTACTTAATCCCCTGAGACTGTGCTCTGCCACAGGTCCTGTTTTCCACGCCCTGCCCTACCAGGGGCCTGGGCAGCACTAGCCACTGAACCCTTCGCTGACCTGCCGTGGATACATCCCCGCTTTCAGGGTGGGGAAGAGGGGTTGGGATGGGCGCCTCAGCCCAGCCAGCAGTGCTTTCAAAGCAGATCACCCCTGGGTCAATGAGGGCTGGGTAACTCCCAGGACAAAATGATCTCAAAACTGAAATGAGGGTGCAGCTGGCCCTTCACGGCCCTTTTCTTGATAGGCCCACCACGGATTGCGTCATGATTGTGGAATAAGGTTGGCACACTTTCTCACTAAAGGTCCTAAGTGGTAAAGACTTGGGGTTTCCTGGCCACTGGCCTTCTGTTGCCTCCACTCACCCGGACTAGGTGAGATACCAAAGTGTCCCAGACTTCAGCAAATTCTGTCTGGGTCTCAATAAAACTTTACTTTCTAAAGCAGGCACTATCTATAATCCTAGCTACTCAGGGGGCAGAGATCAGGAGGATCGCGGTTTGAAACCAGCCCGGGCAAATAGTTGGAGAGACAAAGGGCTGGTAGTATAGGCCCTGAGTTCAAACCCCAGTACCGTAAAACAAAACAACTCCACCCCATTAAATAAAAGAACGCTCAATGGTAGAGCGCTTGCCTAACATATGGATTGGTTCCCGGCACTGCACACACACACACACACACACACACACACACACACACACTAAAGAAAGAAAGGAAGGGAAAAAAAGAAAAGAAAAAAGCACCCAAGCTCTTGAGTAGAAGCTTCTCCAGTAGGATGCACAAATGGCCAATAAACACAAGAAGTTACACACCATTAGCGACGGAAATGCAAATCAAAACCACAGTAAGATACTTCACGCCCATGGCTACTATTTTCAAAAGACACAGAGGGCTGGAGATACAGCTCAGAGCTAAAGTGCTTCCCTGGCAGGCGTTGAGGCCTTTGGTTCAGGCCCTACGATGCGATGAATAAAGACGAAAAGAAAATACCAGCATTGCTGAGGAAGAGGAGAAATGGGGACAGAAAATGGTGCAGGGGCCATGGAAGTGAGGCTGTTACCAACAGATGAATTATCCTGGGTGGGGAGGAGGCTCCAGCCAGGTACTGGGTAGAGCACTTGCCTAGCAAGCGGGAGGCCCCGAGTTCAATCCACAGTACCGCCACCGCCCCAATTTTTTTTTTCATATGATCCAGCAATCCCATTCCTGTCCACACATCCCAAAGAACGGAAAGCAGACTGTCAGCGTGGGGTTTTTGCACACCCATTTTCATAACACGGTTATTTATCTAGTGGAAGTAACTGGAAAGTAGAGTGCACTCTCTCCACACAGAGGAATATTATTCAGCCTTAAAAAGAGATGAAACTCTGCCAGGCACTGGTGGCTTATGCCTGTAATCGTAGCTACTCAGGAGGCAGAGAGCAGGAGGACTACAGTTCAACACCAGCCTGAGCAAATATGTTGCTAGACCCTATCTAAAAAAACCCAAAAAGCCAGCACAATAAAGGGGCTGGTGGAGTGGCTCGAGCAGTAGAGCACCTGCTTAACAAGCATGAAGCCCTGAGTTCAAAAACCAGTACTGAAAGAAAGAAAGCGTTGCCTAGCACAGAGCAAGTGCCTGTGGTAGTTGTACTCTGTAAAGTTGCTGTGAACACTGAATTTACCAATGCTGAGCAACTGTTTCTGACCATTGCAAATTTAGTTGCCTGCTGCCGGTCAGTGTACAACCTTGTTTTGTGTTTCTTTTTCTTTCTGCAGTACTGGGGATTGAACCCAGGGCCTCCAGCATACTAGGCAAGTGTTCTACCACTTCAGCTAAGTCCCCAGCCCTTGTGTTATCAGCAAACGGTGTTCTCAGAAGATCTTGGTCCTTGTGCTCCAAATGGAAGACACCAAGCAGAGCACGTGGGTGGGGTGAAGCAGAATAGCTTTGTGGAGAGAAGGGGAGTCACCCATCCTGCCAGGTGAGAGAAGGGAGGAAGAAGGGCCAGGGTCTCATATTTGAACTTGGAGGTGGGGAGACGTTTATGTCATCACCTGGCTCCTCTCACCTGTGGGCTAGGGGAGGAGCCCTTGAGCCAAGAGGGGGAGTGGCCACAGACTATTCCGAACCTAGCCTGCCTTACTTGTGTTTTTCCTTTCCCGAGTAATTAATCAATTAAAGTTGTTACTAAAATTGTATGTAATTAAGCCATGTGTGTTTTCTTTTTTCAGTGCTGGGGATCAAACCCAGGGCCTGGTAACTTGCAAGGCAAATGTTCTCCCACAGAGCTGTATCCCCAGTCCTGTGTTTGCTGGGAGAGGGTAAAAGAAAAAATCAATGCAGATGCTTTCTTCCCTAGTTGGGCCCATGACTTTCAAATGCAAATCCCATTTTGCCATCCCACCCTGTCCTGACTTCTTACCAGGATCTTAGCCAGGTGGCCCAGGCCTGGCAGTTGGGTGGGCTCCTGAGGGCCTGGCTTGCTTCAGGCAGTCTTGGCCCTGACATCTGGATTCTTACCCATCTGTTCCTCAGTGTACAATTACCCTGCTTGGCCACTTTCTCCTGTTCACTGAAGTGAGAGGTCCCCAGGGCAGGGACTCTGTTTTCTGCTGTGGCAGTCCCTGCACTCAGTGCACAGTGTCTGCTTGCTTTAGGAATTCACTCTGGTTATTTAATTGTTTATATGAGGACCAAATGCGGATGTCTGGAATGCTGTGGCTGGCCACATGGCACCTACACCAGTGCTGGGCCAGGAGACCTCTGTCCCTTCCAGCCCTGGTGAACTGAACTCTGGCTCCAGTCCAGGTAGAGAACCCTGTGCTGTGGAGCTTGCTGTATGGACTAAGTGAGGTGAAGGGCTCGGGGTGCAGCCCATGGGTTCCTCTCAGAGTCAGGCCACAGCGGGTTGGACTGCCTTGGCAGCCAGGAGGTCCTGGCCCGAGAGCCTGTGGCTGCAGCTGTGTTTCCCTATTACTGAAGGCTGTAATCAAGCATTTTAGAGGGAAGTGATTGCAAGTGACTAGTACATAATAGCCTCCTCCTCACCTCCAGTACTGTTCTCCCAAAGCTATACTGTTGACACCTTTTTTTTTTTTCCTCCCACCCCATGTCTTCCCATTCACAATACAGATCAGGCTTAGGGCCTGGGCTGAGGTGTACATGGGGTGGGTTTACTTTCCCTTCTCTTTCTGTACAGTCAGTTTAAGAACACAGCCCGTGGTGAGTACCAGTAGCAATTGACAGCTTCTTATATGAGTGAGAATTCTGGCTGTTTGTCTTGCTGGCTGTGTGACTTTGGGCATATTACCTAACTTGTCTGGGCTTCAGTTTTCTCCTCTGTAAAATGGGGTATAATAGCAAGTTCCTCATGGAATCATCTTGTGGGATAACTCAATTAATATCTGGCTGGGTACTGCTGATTTACGACTGTAATCCTAGCTACTCAGGAGGATTAAGGGTCAAAGCCTGCCCTGGGCAAATAGTTCTGTGAAATCCTACCTTGGGGAAAAAAAACCCATCACAAAAAAAAAGGGCTGGCAGAGTGGCTCAAGGGTTAGATCCTGATTTCAAACCCTGGTATTGCAAAAATAAATAAATAAATAAATATACAAAATCAATTATCTGGAAAGAAAAAAAATCTGCAGAGAAATAGAAAAACAGCAATGCTCTTGGATTATAAAATAAAACTATAGTAATATAAAAAATATTACCTAACCTGTGAAAAGGGATGGGTTACCTGCCATTCTGCTTATAAAAGTGCATATAAGGCGTCAGGTCCAGAATTCACACACCCTGTGGTTACAGGTCACTTAAAACTACAGATACTAGCGTAGTATGCTCTTCTGCACATTTTTTTTTAAATGCTGGGTATCAAGCCCAGGGCCTGGCACTTGCAGGCAAGTACTCTGTTGCTGAGTTACATTTCCAGCTGTTTTTGCTTTTTTTGGAGACATGCAGCCCAGGCTGTCCTTGAACTTAAGATCCTCATGTCTCAGGCTCCCAAGTGCCAGGATTACAGACATACACACACCACCACTCCTGGTCCTGTTCTGCGTCTTGCCTCCACTTAATTATACGGTTCGGAGAACGTTACGCTTGAGCAAGTAGATGTTTAACTCTGTGTCTATCTATGACCTGTTTATCATGCCATGGGACAGGCACGCCATACGTGGTCTATCTTTTCCTTTCTGGCAGACTTGGGGCTCTTTCCTAGGTTTCAGTGCAAACTTTTTGGCTGGCGATTTGGCATTGTGGAACGTATCTTAATCTCGGAGCTGGGGATGGAACCCAGCACGCGTTCTACCGCTGAGTTACGTTGGAATTCATACGCATATCCTGTAGGGCGGCCATTCTCATTCTACCCAGTCTCCAGTCCTAAGGTCCATCTGTCACGTCCCACGTATTCAGCGACTTGTAAAGAGCAAACAAGCGACCCGGGCAGCCACCGGACAGCAAAGACAGACTGGAAAGACAGGAAGAAAGCCTCAGGGCAGGGCGACCCCCGCACACACCCCAGCAGGCTGGGCTATCCTCCTCCACCCGGGCCCCGCCTAACGCAACGGACACGCCCACCACAAACCCCGCCCAACGAAGACCACGCCCACCCGATAAGGCCCGCCCCGCTGATGACTCCACCACCTACGAGGCTTCGGGCTCCTTCAGGGTCCGCCCCACCAAGCCCCGCCCACCACCAGTTCTACCACCACGAGGTCCTGGCCCCGCCCCCTAAAGACCCCGCCCCCTCCAGACCCCGCCCCCGCGCAGTGCGGCTGCGCCGGCGTCTCAGGCTCAGAGGCCCTGGCGCCGCGGCTCTTTTGTTTCCCCGCCAGGGCCGGAGCTGTAACCGCAGCCTGTGCGGGGTTGAAGCTGGAAGTCGGTTCGGAGTCGGCGTCCGGTCGGAGCCACAGTCGCAGTCGGAGTGGGTTCGGATTGTCAGCGTCGCGAGGCCGCCGCCGCGGACGCCGAGGGAGCGCGCCGCCAGGCCCGCGGGCCCGTGGGGCTGGGACCCGGCCCGGGCCTGCCCGATGGGGCGCGCGGCCCCGGCCATGAACCCGCGTCCGGCCCCGCGCCCCCGGCCCCGCGCGCCCGGCCCGCCCGCCGCCCGCGTCTCTGCCTGAGTCCCGCGCGCCCCGGCCCGCCGCTCACAGGCCCGCGCCCCCGGCCCGCGCGCGCCATGGAGCCCGGCCGCGGGGGCACCGAGATCGTGGGCAGATTCGAGTTCTCCCGCAAGGACCTGATCGGGCACGGCGCCTTCGCGGTGGTCTTCAAGGGCCGCCACCGCGAGGTGAGTGAGGCGCCAGCCTGGCCCGCAACCCCGGACTCTAGCTGCGAGATCCCGTAGGGGAGCCCAGCGTGGGAGCCCATCTCCGGGGCCCCTTAGCTGCCCAGGACTCTATCCCATTGGGGACCCAGTCCAGTACCCTACCCCACTCAAAACCCAGCCCTAAAGACCCACCTGCTATCCTGGTTACAAAACGTACATGGGACCCCAACCTAGGACTCCTACCTTGGGACCCCAGCTGGGGAGGGGGTCGTGGGGGAAGTCATCCTTGTCCCTAGCCCTGGAAATAGCCTTGAAACTGCACCTGGGCTCTGAGCCCCCAGCCTAGTCAAGAACCCTACCTGGCCTCCTCTGGGACCCCCGCTCCCCCCACCCCATGACCCTTATGTGAGCCATCTCAGGCCATGTGTGTGGCCCCAGCCTGGGGAGTGACCCTAGCCCTGAAGGTCCATGCTTGGTTTTCAGAAGCATGACCTGGAGGTCGCGGTCAAGTGCATTAACAAGAAGAACCTCGCCAAATCCCAGACTTTGCTGGGGAAGGAAATCAAAATCCTTAAGGTGAGCCGGCACCTTGAGGAGGGAGGAGAGGCTGGGCCAGCTCTGGCCTTGCTTATGAGAAACTTGGATTTTTGTCCTAGGAACTAAAGCACGAAAACATCGTGGCACTGTATGACTTCCAGGTAAGGCCACCAGCAGCTGCTGCTGCTGCTGTGGGAGTGGGGGAGGGGTGGTGTCACTCTCCCAGGAAGGAGCTGGGTGTCTGAATATAGACATGGGATGTCTCTGGTCTGGCCAGCTTTAAGGCCCTGTGGGACCCCAGAGACCTCATCTGTGGCTTGTCTTCTACTAGGTGTTTTGCAACCCCCTAGCTTTATTGGCTGTCACAGACACAGCAGTGGATGTGGGAGGCTTGTTGCCCTGACCCTGTGGTATATCTTCTCCGTTCAGAGTGGCCTGACTCTGGGAGCTCCCCTTCCCCATGTCTGACCCAGTGGCCCTGACTTAGTCTGGTGTCCCCGGCAGGCCCACCTGTCTGGGCTGGCCGGTTGTTTGTTGACATTGCTCCAGCGGCCTGGCATTGGCCGGTCTCTCCTGCGTCAGACGCCGGGAGGGGGAGGGGCCGCCGGAGATTCTTTCTTGCTGGCTGTTGGGACTGGGCCTGCTGGACTCAGCAGCCCATGAGGCCACCTCAGGTCTGTTTGGCCCAGCAGGCAAGCTGGCCGGTCGGCCATCCTCCGTGCTGCTCCCAGGCCCCTGAGCCTATCGGTGGTAGGGGCTGGGGGCCCTGGCTGCCTGGCTTGGGGACCAGGAACCTGAGGCAGGTCTGCCAGAATGCTGACTAATGGTTTTGAAACCTGTTTACTGGGGCCACGGGACCAGCCCTGGCTGAGGGAAGTTCCCGGCGCGGGTGTCTGTGTTTTGGTGGCCTCCTCCTTCCCTCAGCTGTCAGCTTTACTGTGGCCTTGGGGTTGTGACGTGTCATGAGGTGACATGTGGGCAGGGCCCAGGCCCAGTGTGACCGGGAGTACCTGGAAATCGCCAAAGACATTGTGTTCTGGGTCCAGGAGACTGCTCTTCCTGCCTGTCTTCCTTTTCCCTCCTCCCTCCCCCGGGTCCCTCCCCTTTTTCTCCATCCTATCTCCTCCATTCTTCCTCCGTGCTCTGAAGCTCGTGAGTCTCATGGGGACCAACAGCAGAGAGATGGGTTTGTTCTGCCTGGGGACAGACCCTCTGGCCCACACCACTGTGCTCCCCTCCTGGCACCCACATTCCTTATCTGGGCATCTACAGGACAGGCCCTCTGGGACTGGACAAATAGTGGATTGGACTCCAGGGATCATCTCCATAGCCCCTGAGCTGACCTGGGACCTACACCTCCCTCTGATGTTCTTCTGGTCCCTGCTCCATCCAGTTGGTCACACACCTGATTGTGGGCATCTGCCACTTCCTCTAGTGTTGCCAACACTATGGCTTCCTCTGCTCAGAGGAAGTGCTGAGAAATGCAAGCCGTAGCCTCTCCCTGGGCTCCAGGGACCAGAGCTTCTTGACTAGGTCTCTGTCCACTCTTACCATTGATATACGGGGATTTCTGTCTGGCATCCTTTTTTTGAGGGGTGGGGAGGTACTGGGGTTTGAACCCAGGGCCTCAAGCTTGCTACGCACGTGCTCTATCACTTGAGCTATTCCACCAGCCCTTTTTTGTGCTGGGTATTTTCATATAGGGTCTTCCGAACTATTTGCTCAGGCTGCCTTCAAACCTCCATCCTTCTTATTGCTGTCTCCTGAAGAGCTAGGATTACAGGTGTGAGTCACCACCACCCTGCTCTGCCCTTTATCCTTAAGACATATTTGATATGGACACCAGGGCCAGAAAAAAGGACTTGCTTTTAAAAATGAGTAATAAATGATTTGCCTAGAAAGTTCCCATATACCGCAGGAGAGTGTGGTCAAAGGTTATTCTCCCATCACTGGGCAGATGGAGTTTCACTGCCCTCTCCTTGAAGGCTTCTGGGTCTTAGGAGGACCATCACTATAAGCACACCACACCTGCTGTCCTCCACTGTGATTTTTTGCATTTGAGAATGTCTTCGGGGAGGTGAAAAGGCTCTGTTTTTTGTTACACTCAGTCCACATCAGAAGGGTCCCATGTTGATTTTCTGGAGCAGCCATCTGGAAGCTCAGTGGTTCAGAGCCATACTGCGGCAAGGCTGGATGACCTGGTTCCGGTCCTGGCTCTGCCATGCATGGGCTGCATGCATCTTGACCTCTTCCTCCATCTCTTCCTCTATCAAGTAGAGGCCATGAGTTATGAGGCTTGGATAAAAGCATATTCTCTGAGCCAGGCGCCGGTGATTTATGCCTGTAATCTCAATCTTAACTACTCAGGAGGCAGAGATCAGGAGGATCGCAGCTCAAACCAGTCTGGGCAAATTGTTCTGGAGACCCTATCTTGAAAGACCTTTTTTCAAACAAGAAGGGCTGGTGGAGTGGCTCAAGGTGTAGGCCCTGAGTTCAATCCCCAGTACTGCAAAAAAACAAAAGAGAAAAGGGCATGTTTTCTGGTCCAGGGCCCACCTTGGAGGTGTTGGGTGCCATCATTGTTGTCATTCTCGTCATCCTCATTGTTTCTGTGTTGCATGGCTGGTGGTTTCTGGTTGATTTCATCATACCACCTGTTGATGGGATGTGAAGCTATTCTGGGATTCTGGCAAGTCTACATGTGATCATGCTGACTCCAGCTTTTTTGCTACTGTTGGTCCACAGGATGGATTCCTAGAAGTAGGATTCCTGGGCAAGAGGTGTGTCTATGTGATGTGGTTTGGGTGGCTGTTGCCAAATTGCCCTCCAGAGAGGCCATGTCAGTGGTTGCTCCCTCATCCCTGCGGGGAAGTCAGCTTTCAGACTTGTCCTGGCCAGGTAGGATGGTTTGAGTGTTGGAAATACACCCTCTGATAGATGTTTCCAACAGGCTCTTAGCCCTTTTCCTCTTGAGGCTGGATGAGATGGAGGTAGTGGCCTAGGCCTGAGTCACACTCCCTGTCTCTGAGTCCTGTGAGATGTTAGCTCAGTAAACTCTCAGTACCTCCTTTCTACTCCTGAAGCAAGGTAGTTTGAGTTGATGTGTGTTAGGTGTGTTGAACTGTGCCTGCTTAATAGAAGTGCTGTATTAAAGTTACTGTTACTGATCTGTACATCTTTATATTTTATATTTTAAGAAATTAGTTCTTTTATGATAGCTTGCAAATAGAGTGTCCTCCTTGTTATTTGTCTGTTGAGGTTATTTTTTTTCCCTGTGGTGCTGGGCATTGAACCCAGGGTTTTGTGCATGCCAGGCAAGTGCTATCCTACTGAGTTAAACCTCAGCCCTCTGAACCCTTTCTGAGTCCAACAGACCTGTGGAGAGGCAACTGGGACACCTGACCTCCCTCCGGAGGTCAGGAGGGGTGGGCTCGCTTTCATTTCAGTGCAGTGTGCAGTGTCTGAATGTTCTCATGCTGAGAGAGCAGGCGCTGCCTGAACCTAGGTATTGAGCTGTGGACACAGACCCAGAGTTTGCCAATGTGACAGCATTTCAGGGATGACCACCTAGAGACTGGTTCCCTGCAGCCATATACCTTGCTGGGTTGCCTGGAGGTGATTCACCCAGGTCTTGAAGACAGACCAGCTTACTGAATTCACTGCTGGCTGATGCCTGGGCTGAGGGGGTTTCCCGCAGTGACCACTGTGTTCTGGCCTTGTGTGATGGGGACTTGGCTGTGACCCCTTTCCTAAGAGTGGATGGGCTGCCAGGCCAGCCCTCCAGGGGGAGTGATGCAGGCTGAGGGAACTCTTGGTTTTGTGCTCCAATCATGGCTGTGTGGAGGCCTCCGGGACCAGGCAGGTCTGTACATTACCTGCAGAGTTGAAGTGATTTTTCTGTTTGTGTTTTATAGGTTTTTGTTTTTGTTTTTTTCTCTCCCAGTACTGGGGCTCAGGGCATATACTTTGAGCCACTCCATCAGCCCGTTTTTGTGACGCGTTTTTTTCGAGATAGGGTCTCATGAACTGTTTGCCTGGGGCTGGCTTCGAACTGTGATCCTCCTGATCTCTGCCTCCAGTCATGAGCCACAGGGTCCTGGCTTTTGCTATTGTTTTGTTGTTGTTGTTGTTGTTGTTGTTGTTTTTCCGTGTGCTGGGGTTTGAACTCAGGTCTTTGTGATCTCAAGGCAGGCACTCTAGGGCTTAAGCCACTCCTCCAACCCTGTTTTTTGTTATTTTTCAGAATATCCTTATGTAGCCCAGGCTGACCTTGAATTTACGATCCTCCTGTCTCAGCTTCACCCAGTGCTAGGACTACAGGTATGTGCTACCATGCCTGGTTTAACTTTGTTTCATTAACTTTTTTTTTTTTTTGGTGTGTGTGTCAGAAGAGTAATGAATCAGTGTCATCCCAAGGGTTGAGAGAGGCACATTTCACACAGGTGTGATGACCTTGACTTCATGCTTACAAACCACAAAAGGGCTGGGTTTTTTTGTTTTTTGGCGATACTGGGATTTGAGCTCACGGCCTTACTCTTGCTAGGCAAGTGTTCTATTGTTTGAGTCACTCCACCAGCCCTTTGTTGTGTTCGAAATTTTCGAGAGGGTCTCACGGAACTATTTGCCCAGGCTGCCTTCAACCACGATCCTCCTGATCTCTGCCTCTTGAGTAGCTGGGATTACAGGTGAGCCCCAGTACCCAGCTGGTTTTTGCTGTTTAAGTTGTATATGACAGATTGGAGACTACAAAGCTCATGATGAAATGCATAGTGAGCTGCTGGTAGATAGGCTGCCCTCTGAAGCCACCTGTGTCCCTTGTTCTCCTCTCTTGTCTTCCTGTCTGAACTGGGCTCTTGACCCCTGCCTGGCCAGTCTTTGAACTTCCTGGAAGTGGAATCTCAGCCTTTGTTTGAGGGATATTCTGCCTCTGTAAGCATGTAATCCCTGCAGCGGGACTGTTCCCTGATGTTGGTGCCCCTCCTTGGATGGATGGTGGGGTCTTATCTTGGTGGCGGAGAGACCTGCTGTGGTAGGTGTCAGTGCACTGGCCAGGGCTGCTGGTCTCAGGAAAGACTACATGTGGACTTATGTTCCTGAGGACTGCATGCTCCCCTGTACTGGCTGCCTCTAGTGTTTCTGAGTGGAGTATTGCCCTGTGGCTTCTTGGAGGGGTCAGATCTCTACCCTACCGTGGCTGGTAAGCAGCACAGGGCTCAGGGACCTGCCTGGCTCTGCCGCTGAGCTCCCAGCAGGGCCAGTGATATCAAGGGGGCAGGAATAAGCAACAGTGGGCAGTTGCTGGGGGCCTAGGGCCAACGTGGGTGGACTTCTTTCTCTGGTGGGTCCTTCCCTTCTGGGATCTGTCCAGAGACCAGCTTGAGAAGGCTCAGTAGCCATGTCTACTGAGGCTGTGGCCCTGCCACCATCTGCAGCCCAGAGAATTAAGTAGGTCAGAGCCTGCCAGTGGTGTGCCTGCCATCCCAGAGCAGTGTTGGCGGAGGGTGGGAGCGGGAGCCTATTGAGCAAAGCACCTTTGTGCCCCTGGATGCGCTGCCGCCTACATGCCTGGATGCCTGTGCAGCTTCCCTGCTCCAGCAGACCATCCCTGTCCCCAAGGCTCTCCTTTTGAGGGATTTGTTGTGTCTATGAGAGGTCTTTGTTCATAGGGTAGGATTAACCAACTCCTTCAGGAGAGCACCCAGCAGAGGGGTCTGCTTTGTATCTGAAGCCTTGCTCTGTCCCGCTGCCAACTGTGACCTGCCAAGGGATGGCACCTGCCTGCTAGGTGGGGTCACATGCTGGGAGCCTGACGTTTCCACTGACAAGGTGTAGCCTGCTTGCTGCCTCTGTTAGGGTTCCTGAAAACCTGCTCTTGAGTGAGACATGCCTGCAGATACTGTCTGCCAGCAGTCTCTGGGATTGTGTGCTTGGCCTTTTCAGAAGTCTGTGCTTAAGGGTCCAGCAGGGTCCCTGCACTCCAAGGGAACTTGTGAAAACCAAATTTAGCTGAGCAGAGGCTGAAGAGATGGAACCCGATGCCTGTCTGGGTTCTGGGTTCTGTTTTCTGGGTTCTGTGTGGGCCCACGGGTAGAGGCAGGTCAGCTGTGGCCACTGACGCTGTGCTCTGGCTTCTGCCTCCCACTCTGGTCCCAGAGAATGCCATTTTCCACAGGGAGGGTGGCCCCAGGTGTACATGGTGGAGGGAAGAGGGAGGGCTTGGGACAGGCTCAGGCCTGCTGCTTTCTTGGAAAAGCTCCCCACCAGGCATCTGGCCCAGCTGGCGGTGTGGCTTGGCCCCACCTCCTTGTCCTTGGCAGGCTGGAGCAGGGTGATGGCGCTCTCCCAGTGGCTGTGTAGTCCCAGACAGCTACTGGCTTGACATGGCACAGGCCGAGAGATTGCGAGCCGGTGTGTGAGCCAGCTTGCCTGGACTGGCCCTGCCACTTTGCAGATTCTTAGCCTTGGTTTTCTTGTCTGTGAAGTGGGCCTAGTGAGCATCCCTGTTGCCTGGGTTACTGGGGGAATCATGGAGTTCCTTGAGATCTGATGAGGTACGAGGAGTAGGCCCTATGAATGCTTACTGATAGAGGACTGAGGCCCAGAGCCTAAGGGCCTGTCTAGAGCTGCTGGTCCAGGGGCAGTGGGGGAAGTTGATAGGGGGCCCTGTGTTGGGTCTCCTGAGGCCTTGGATGCTTTGTGTTGAGGTGGCCCCACCCTGCCTCATAGCTCCTCTGGGTCCTGTGCCCAAGAGCACCTTGTGGGAGAGGCTGACCAGGGACCAGGCCAAGTAGCAACATTGAGTGGGGTTGACTGCTGCCTAGCCCAGGGCAGTCTGGAGAATGGAAAGAGGCTGGATTGCCGGGACTTGTGCCTGCTGGGAGTCCTGGGGTCAGCCCACCAAAGTTTTAAGGAAGCATGAGCACAGTCTAGCACAGCAGGGTGGTGTGGGGGCAGCTGGAGGGTTCTCTAGGAATGCAGGCCTCTAGGGGGGGTGCCATCTGTGAGTCCCAAGGAGTGAGACCAGGAGCCTGGGGGTGGAGCTATGGCCCTAGCACTGGAGAGCAGTGGCTTTGTGAGGAGAGATAGGCAGGCACCCTGTGATGGGGTTGTGGGGGAGAGCCCTGGCTAGGATATGGGCATTGTGGGGAGCATGCAGGGCCCAGGGCCTCCTGCCAAGTTTCATGGGCATGAAGGGGACCTCATGTGAGTCTTACCTTTCTGGGGAGGAAGGAGGCTGCTTTGGGATCTCATAGTCCCTGGGTGGAAGATAAGAGGCCCCTGGCTCCGGCAGTCCTGGGTGTGAGCTCTGCGGGGAATGGCCCACCCTGCACTTATGTCTCTTCAGGTCTGTCTCTGTCCTTGCCACTGTCCGTGTTTGTCCTGGCTCACTGGGTAGGTTTTGGGCTCTCGTGGGTTAAGTCCTGGAGAGAAGGCTGATGATTAGGACAAGTCTGAGTCTCCACTCTGTCACCCTCCAGCTGTGCCTATTCTAGGGCAAGGGGCCCAGTCGTCCTGGTCGCCCTGGCTGTGTGTGGAAGCTTCCTGGAAAGGAGTGGGTGCTGCTGCTGCCTAAGCTGTTTCTGGGTCATTATCTTTATCACCTCCTGCCTTGCCCTACGCCCTCTCCTGGCTCTGACTCCTGCCAGGTTGTTGCAGCCTCTGGCTGTCCCTCTATCCTGGTCCCTGCCTCTTTGAGCCTTGCCTCTGCCTCTCAGTGGCATTAGAGCTCCACCTGCCTCTGTGTTATCTCTCCTCCGCAGCTGGCCTGGAAGGTGGAGGTGGGAGGTGGAGCCAAGGCCAGGGCTCCTTGGGTCACTTCACCTGGGGCGGGGCAGGCAGGTTCAGACAAGGACTCTGGGACAGCGGCATATAAGCACTGGTCTGCCCCGCCTTTGTGGACTGCCTGTTCAGCTTCAGGTTATGAAGCCTCCTTGCCAGGATGCACCTCTCTCTGGAACCTGGGAGGATAGGGGGCAGCACAGTGGGTCGTGTGGAAGCTGACCACCCCAAGCGCACCCTCAGCCTGCTTCCTTGCCCCCCACCCCTTTCTCTGGCACAGCTCTTAGTGCATCCTGTTTTGGCTGCAGGAGGTGAGCTGCTTATATTCACAGGGACTAACATGTCACACAGCTGGTATGTCACTCAGCTTCTGTCTGTTCCCCTAGGAGTATGTTCATATGTGGCCTTGGTCTTGGGAATGAACTGGGCAGGGGTCCTAGTCCTGCTGGCATGGGGACAATCTATTGCATGTCTGAGGGCATGCTTGGGACCTGGTGTTGACACGTGGGGCAGGGTGGCAGCTGGCTACTGGCGGGTGGGCTGTGCAGCCTGGGGTTGAGTGTGTCTGACTCCCACAGGCCTCTGATAAGCGCTCCTCCTGCAGCCCCCTCATAGTTCCTGCCCCTTCTGCTTCTAGAGCTTCGGGGTTTGTGGGTGCCAGCCACGTAGGTTTTGTAGTTTGAGGGACTACAGTTTGAAGTCTCTGTGAGGTGGAGTGTTGATCCCCTCCTAGAGTGTCCTGGGATTGGGGGTCGTAGTACATTCTGCTAGGCTGCACGAGGGAGACAGAGTGACAGGGGAAGGGCTCCCTCCTGAGGCTCCCAACTCCCTGTGCTCTGCTGGTGGAGCTGCCCTCCTAGGGAAGATACTGCCTACAGCAAGAATCACAGGCTGACCAGCACTAGCCTGTCTGCTTTGGCCCCTGGGCCTCAGTTTCCTCATCCATGAGACACTAGTGAGTGTGGCTCTTCTGGTTACTATGAGGAGTGGGAGGCACTGGGTTTAGAGCCTGGCACAGATGTAGGCTGCACCAACCAGCTGTGAGGAGGGTGCTGTTTTCTGGGCACCAGGTCAGGCTGCTGTGGGCTCTTGCTGAGTTAAGGAAAGCATGTCGCTGGTGCTGGAACTGGGGGTCTGTTTGAGTGGATGGCTGAGCAGTAGAGGGGGAAGCCAGGATGCCTTCACTGAAAGAGATGAGGCCGGGGCAGGCATCAGCTTGAGCCTACTAGGTGGGGTCCGGGCAGCTGATCCTGGCTGCTAACTCAGCCTGGCAGCCACAACTCATAATTTGTTGGTGTCATTGATTCTGGAGCTGGAAGTTACACAGCTCCTGGCCTTGGGGCGGGGGCGGGGGGGGGGTGGCCGTCAAGGTCAGCCCATACCCTGGCCTGGACCCTTCCACTGAGGCTCTTCTTTGCCAGGAGTCACCATTCACAGGAGACAGGCCACACCCACCAGCTTAGTGCCAGGACCCATATTGCCCTCACACTGACCAAGACCTTTAGGCTTGGGGTCCATGCTCCACTCAAATGGTCCTCATTGGCTGCTGCTCCGTCACTCTGGTCCATATTTCAGATGGCCACGAAATGCAACCTACACCATCCAAAATCAACTTGGCCACAGGTGCCCTTTCTCCCAGGTGTTGATAAGGCTAATTCCTAACCCAAAGGGGCCACCAGGGCCTGACTGTGTCCACTCTGCCTGAAGCCTTGTGAGCAGGTGGCATGTGGAGAACTCTGTGGTTTGGAGCACCCAGAATCAGTGCCCCAATGGCATTTTCTCCAAGTGGCTCATGGCCTTTTCTCTGTCTTGCAGGAAATGGCCAATTCAGTCTACCTGGTCATGGAGGTGAGTTCTGGAGGGCCAGGCATATATCCATGGCATGTACCACAGAGGGAGGCAGATGGTGGGCTAGGGAGCAATGAGCATTGACCATTGATGTCCCCTGCTGGAGGTGCCCAAGGGCTCAGGGAGCAGGCGTAGGGGAGGAGGCAGATAGACTGAAGGGTCCCTAGCCACACTCTGACCTTGTTGCTGGTCTTTTGCAGTACTGTAACGGCGGGGACCTGGCTGACTACCTGCACAGTGAGTGGACACAGCACAACCAGGCAGCACTGCAGCCTGGGAGGGTGGCCCAGTGTAAACCACCTCCTGCTGATTGTGGCCTTGGGTCTTTCTCAGTTGTAAATATGAGGAGCCCCTGCCGTTTTTGACTGTTAGCACTCTGTCATCTGTCCTTCCACAGCTACTTATTGTTTCCAATGAGATTGGGGGTGGCTGTGACCAGACGGTTAGAAGTCAGAGGGTTCACTCTGTTTGAGGGGAGGACAGGGCAGGGATGAGCAGCAACGCTCAGGGCAGAGCCAATGAGGTGGCGTGGGTCAGAGCAAGTGTTGTGGGGAGGGGGTAGTAGGGGGTGGCAGGGAAGGCAGCTTTTGGCTCACGTGGAGTTGAGCTGAGTGATTGTATGGGGGGAAAAGCATTCGAATAGAGGAATTGGGAGGAGGGTGCATATAGCCGATCAGGGGGGCTGCCAGGAACAGAAGGGCCCAGGGACTATACTGGGGAGGACAGTGAATGGGTGGGCTGTGATGGGTGGAATTGACAAGACTCCTGAGTGTTGTGTGGTCTCTTCATGAATGGCGAAGGTGGACCAGGGCATTAAGTGAGTAGAGCATCCACAGAACCCTTCCAGAAGCTGTGGGTCCCAGGTAGTGGGAGTCAGGCAGAGGCTTGGCCTCTGGCCTGAAAACCTGGAGGATGGAGTGGGGTTCTCCATCTTTGTCTCTGGGGCTACTAACAGAACCTGGTCTTGGGAAATTGATACACAGCAGGGATTGATCACTTCCAGTCATGGGCTGCAGAGGCCCCAGCATCCCTGATTGATGACACCTTTGTGCTGAGGTCTGTGGCCCAAAGGGCAGACTGCTCTCTCAGGATGCCTTATAAGGGCGAGAATCCCAGAGGCTCACCTCCTGAGGGCCTCATCATGTAGGGGACAGACATTCATACCCTAACTGTGGGGGTAGCCTTTTTTGCTTTGGGGTCTCCTCCCTTTGCTGGGGGACTCTGGACACCTTCCCAGGCAAGGACACTGGCTAGTACTGGCAGGTCAGACTCGATCTTTGATGGCCCTATGTGAGTCTGCTGGGATAGTGCCCTTTGGGTGAAGGTCAATCAGGAAGCAAAGGGGTGTTGGTCCCTGTCTGCTAAGTATTTGCTCTTGTCCTCTGTAGTGAACATGCAGCCCACTGGGCCCATGAGCTTCAGTGATTAGGCTGTTCCTGGCCAGTGTCCAGGCTCCAAAGGTGTCAGGTTGGTCCCAGGCCAGCCTTAAGTACCACCTGCCTGCTTGGAGGGAGGGAGGCGTGAGGAGGCCCGGTGGCTTCTCTCAGGGTTGGCAGGTTACATGAGGGTGTTTGGGAGCGTCTCTGTAGTGAGCATAAATATAGGCCCCTTCTGGCACTCCCCCAGGGTGAGCCTGGCTCCCAGAAGGGATTTAGGGGCCTGGATATTAGTATGAGGTGAACATCAGGTCTCTCTTGGGTGTGCCTCTGAGGTGTGTCTGCAGGGTGTGTGTCTATATCTTTTGAGGTGAGTGTCTTTGGGTTTCTCTGCCTGCCTGGCTGTGGGTGGCTGTCCTTAGGCTTTCCTACTTGGGTACCTGGCAACTGAAAGCCACTGCTGCTGCTGCTCCCTCCCAGGGGTTGTCTTACATCTCTACACCAGTCCTAAACCACATGGTGGCTCACTGGGGCCACTGGAGCTACCTTGGACATGAGGCTTCCCTGCTATCCTGAGCCCATTGCTGGTGAAGGCATTGTCTTCTCTGTCTCTGCTGTGCCTGCTCCAAGTTCACCTGCCAGCCACAGTGGGCCAGAACCCTGGGGACATGTCCCCAAACCAGTGGCTGGCCTGGTGCTTGCCTTAGGGGGTGAAGAAGACACTAGAAGGTTTGCATGGATGATCATAAACTGACAAAGAGGAGCAGGGCTGTCAGGAACACCGACAGCCAGCTGCTTGGGGCGACATGGAAGGGGAAAGGGAGATGAAAGGGACATGGGAAGACGTTTTCCTGCAGAACCAGCAGGTGGACTGAGGGGTTGCAGGACGAAGGGCTGCTAGCCCCTTCCAGCCCACAGGAGGGGATGGATTTGGCTGCTTGCAGGGATGGTCTTACCTGTGCTGTCTGCCTGGCGGGGCCTCTGGTGGGAGTCCCAGTGGGCCAGCAGTGGTGCCTCTGGATGTGCACACCTGTCCCTGTTGGGTTCTTCTCTGTGCACCTGGGAGTGTCCAGGGGAGTGCCGGCTTTGCTTGCTGAGCCCCCGTCTCCCCACAGCCATGCGCACCTTGAGTGAAGACACCATCAGGCTCTTCCTGCAGCAGATTGCTGGCGCCATGCGGCTGCTGCACAGCAAGGGTATCATCCATCGGGACCTGAAGCCCCAGAACATTCTGCTGTCGAATCCTGGTGGACGCCGCGCTAACCCCAACAACATCCGTGTGAAGATTGGTAAGCCTGTGGGGGGGCGGACCCTGGGGCCCATCGGGCGGCCTATCTGCAGCAGCCTGAGTGGAGGCTGTCCTGTTGTGTCTCTGTCCTGCAGCTGACTTCGGGTTTGCCAGGTACCTACAGACCAACATGATGGCGGCCACGCTCTGCGGCTCTCCTATGTACATGGTGCGTGGCCCTCGGTCTGCCCGCGCCCACACTTGCCACCTTGAGCAGGATAGGTTGGGGCTCCTTGTAGGGTGTCCGACCCTCGGGTCAAACCCTGTGTGCAACACTGAGTCCGTCCTGTAGCCTGGTTTGTGTGGCAGCCAGTGTGGTGGTGGGTTTATCAGGCCTGACTGCTGATGGGGTGCTGTGTGTTTCTTGCCTGCACATGTCCCTCTGCCTCAGCCCTGATCTACGTTCTGACCCTGCAGGCCCCTGAAGTCATCATGTCCCAGCACTATGACGGGAAGGCTGATCTCTGGAGCATCGGGACCATTATTTACCAGTGTCTGACGGGGAAGGCCCCTTTCCAGGTGAGCAAGCGCCCCCAGCCCAGAGGGTGTGCGTTGGCTCATGGAAGTCTCATGTGTTCTGCCTGCTGTGCCATCTCCAGCTCCCCACCATTCAGACACTTGCAGTCCAGAGAGTGGCCTTCTTACACAGGGCGAAGGCCAGAACTGCTCTGGTTGATCAGTTGAGTGTCACCTCTGTCTCCACCCATGTTACAGACCAGTGCCTTGTGTTCGTATAAGCTGGTCCTCCTTGACCATCTCTTTCTGAATGCTAGTTGTGTCCCTCTAAGAGGTGTTGTGACCCAGGCATAGGGTGTACATCCATCTGGAAAGCAGGATCCCGTGTCATAGAAGGGCCCAGGACCGTAAGCAACCCAGCAGGGTAGGGCTGTGTTTCCTAAAGTCACCCTGAGCTTTCCCTGCTGACCTGTCTGGTGCGGTTCCCAGCAGCCTCCAATGACTACCCAGGTCATTGGACTTCATCACCCACCCACCTCTGTTCCTGGGATGGCAGCCTGTCGGGCTCTCAGCATGTCCCAGCAGGTGGCTCAGTGAGGGATGTCCTGAGGGCCAAATGACCCCAAGCTCCTGGAATGCACAAAGTGCCCCAGCCAGCCCACCTTGAGTTGGAGCGGGTCCAGTGGCTCTGTCTAGCCCCCTGGCCACCCTGTACAGTCAGTCCTCTGAACTCTGGTTGGAGGCGGAGTGTGGTCCGGTGTGTGGACATGAGCACGTGAGCTGGCCAGTGGTCCTGGCTGAGAGTCAGCTGGGGAGAAAGGCTCTGAGACCAGACACTGGCAAGTCTTGCTTAGCCAAGCTGATGCAGGAGGCAGGAATGCAGGGAGCTAGCTCTCACACTGCTGTCTCCACAGGCCAGCAGCCCTCAGGACCTGCGCCTGTTCTACGAGAAGAACAAGACACTGGTCCCTGCGTAAGCATCCGTTCCTGCTTCCCAGGTGGGTCCACTTAGGCACTTTACCAGTCTCAGTCAGCCCCATCTTCTTTTGCCCTGCCCAGCATCCCCCGGGAGACCTCGGCTCCTCTGCGTCAGCTGCTTCTGGCTCTCCTGCAGCGCAACCACAAAGACCGCATGGACTTTGGTGAGTGCTTGGTGCTTGGCCTCCTTCAACCCCACCTCCTCATCGCCCCAACCACTTGAAGCATTTGTTTGGGGTGGGGCCTGTCTAGGTTCACCTGTTGTCACTTTTCTTCCTCATTGGGCACTGCCTCCTCTGTAACCCTGCTCGAGCATGGGCACTGCCTCTGACCAACCTTAGGCCGGCCTAAGTGTGCAGCCTAGCTCTCTTGCCATGACTGCTGCTAGCCTCCAGAGACAGCAGCCAGTGGGTGTCCCAAGTACCCCAGGGTCTTTCTCCAGCAGCAAGGCTGTTAGACCCCAATGTCACAAGTGGTGGAGCTAGCTGGGGCTCCATCTCTGCTCCCCAGGGAGCTGGGTCCTGGCCCTGGGGGTCCTGAGGAATCAGTGCCTTCTTCCCACAGATGAGTTTTTCCGCCATCCCTTCCTGGATGCCAGTGCCTCTGTCAAGAAGTGTGAGTCCTCTGGGGGTCCCCGGGCTCTTAGTGGGGCCTGTGGTTTCCTTCTCCATGTCTGTAGATGCCTCTTGCTATGATTACCTTGAGCTGGTGCTCTCCCTTGGGGAGGGTGGTAGGAGGTGCTGTTACTTGTCACAGTGGTAGTGGTAACAAGGTGGGGACTGCCTAGTGCTGGTGCAAATCATAGCCATCGGGGATAGCTGGGCAGGGAGGTCCTTGCTTGCCCACCCCTCACACTACTAAGGGTGCAGGGAGCAGTGCTGGGATGGGCTATACTTGAGCTTGTCCTGTCCCTGGGCTGGCCCTGCTGAGCAGCCAATGTCCCTGCACTGGGAGGGGATGGAGTTTCCTTGCAGACTGATCCTTGCCCCTCCCCAGCCCCACCTGTGCCTGTGCCCTCCTACCCGAGCTCGGGGTCCGGCAGCAGCTCCAGCAGCAGCTCCACTTCTCACCTAGCCTCCCCACCGGTAAGTCAAGTTGCTTCCTCCAGCCTGCCCAAGTTTCTGCATTTAAGTCCTGAGAGATGGAGGTTATGTCTGTGAAAGTAGGTGAACAGCTTTTGGTACGGCAGCCATGGGGTCTTTTCCTAAGACCCTCACCCAGTGCAGGCCGATTCCTGGGATTAACCCTGCCAGCTCCCACTTGGACCCCCAGCGCCCCTCCCAGGGCTGGGGAGTATTGGCTTCCCCTCTTGGTGGCGTCAGTTACAAGACCAAGTCTTTGAGCATACCTCAAGGTAGGGCTTGAGCCATGTCCCATCAGTCTGTGGCCTGGCTCCAGGATTATTGTTGGTTCAGCCTTGTGCCCTCTGACCTCTCTCTAGGGGACTGTGCTTATCCCTTGGGAGGTACGGCTCTTTTCAGAGCCACGTTGAGCACTGTTGCCTGTTCTGTGAGATCTGAGTAGAACTTAGCATGATGTACCCTGGGCACTGAAGGACCTGCCATTGGCTGCATCCCCACTGCCTCCACATCCCTTGGTTTGCTTTTATAAAAGATGCATCACAACCACCTGAGCTATCCAGGGTTAGGATGGGATTGCCTTATCAGAGTCTAGGGGATCCCGCTCCTAGCTCACCAGCCTTTCCTCTGTCCTCTAGTCCCTGGGAGAGATGCCACAGCTGCAGAAAACACTGACTTCCCCTGCTGATGCTGCTGGCTTCCTGCAGGGATCCCGTGACTCAGGCGGCAGCAGCAAGGACTCATGTGACACGGATGACTTTGTCATGGTCCCAGCTCAGTTTCCAGGTTGGCCTGCTATGCAGGCAGAAAGTCCTTGTTATGTTTATAGTGGGGAGATTGATTGTAGGAAATGTGTGACATGGACCCTGTATATGTGCGCACATGTGAGTGAGGACATGGCCTGTTTCCACAGACCCTGTATGTGTTGCATGTGAATGAGGTTGGGGGTCTGACCTGTTTCTATCATGGGCAGTTGGGATGGCATCTTTGCCAAAGGTGGCATGGTTGGAATCATGACCCCCTTGTGGCATGACCCCTTGGGGAGGGTCAGCTGGCAATCAGTGGTCCCGCCTCTTCTCCAGTTTTTTTCTGCATACCTCCCTGTTCTTGTCCTGTACCTCATACTGGAAGCTTCCCTCAGCACTGTGTTTGCTGAGTGAAGATAAACAGACCCTGTGGGGCAGGCCTGGATGGGCAGCCATCCTTCCTGGACTCTATCCTCTGTCTGGGGAGTAAAGAGACATGGGTGCAGGCATGGGGAATTGGGGTTAGGTGGGCCTGGAAGAGTGGAGATGCCTAGTCCAGATGCCATCTCCTACCTGTAGGTGACCTGGTTGCTGAGGTGGTCAGTACCAAGCCCCCGCCAGACAGTCTGCTATGCAGCGGGTGAGCTCCCCAACCCCTCTGTTTAAGGAAAAATGGGCCTTCAGAATGACTGGCATCATCCCGGTCTTGTGTAACCCTAGCCTGGGGTGAGGCCATTCAGGAAGGATTAGACCTGCTGTGTCCCCTAAAGGCTGGGGTGAGGGAGGGTTTGGGGTCTGCCATGTTGTTCTGAAGGTGTCCCTGTCCCTTCTGCCCACTAGGAGCTCACTGGTGGCCTCTGCTGGCCTGGAGAGCCACGCCCGGACCCCATCTCCCTCCCCAACCTGCAGCAGCTCTCCCAGCCCCTCAGGGTAAATAGGGGCCAGGTGTCGTCTGGGTTTCCTTTTAAGGGACTGCCACCATCTGGAGGCCCCATCCTTGATCAGACTTGGCTGGATACCAGGACTGTCTGATATCCCACAGAAGGGCTGTTGACAGGAGGTGATGGGGAATACCAGTGAGGACCATCCTGCTCACTTGTGGGGTGGGGGCCAATAGTGCTGTACATGAGACCTTCACAGCAGCACCTATGGTGCTGAGCAGATGCAGGGTGGGAAAGCCAACTCTCTTTAGGTCTGGCTGTGGTCTGGGGGCCTTTCCCCTAGGGCATCTGGGCTCCCACCAGGCACCATCTCCAGTGGCCCATCCTGTCTCTTCCTATAGCCGGCCTGGCCCCTTCTCCAGTAGCAGGTCTGGCGCCTCTGTCCCCATCCCGGTCCCCACTCAGGTGCACAACTACCAGCGCATTGAGCAGAATCTGCACCCGACACCCCGGTGAGTGTCCCATGATCTGTGGCGAGAGCCCCAGCACAGCCCTGGGCTGTGGGGCATTCGTGCGTGAGCAGGTGTACAGTCTCGAGTCTTTTGACAACGTCAGGTGTCCTTAGTTCACAGACACTATTAACTCGGGCAGGCAAACTTGCCAAACCTCCCATAAAGTGCATGGGGGGCAGCTCCAGCTTGTAGGGGCTGTGATCTGGGAGGTGGAGTAGGGGAAGTGACTCCTGATGACACTTACTGGTAACGGCTCAGGGAGGAGCTGCACAGCATTGCTGGGCATGGCACAAGGTTGGGGCGTCACTGTGCTGGTCTTGTCTGCAGGTCTTCTGCCCTCCGCAGATCGGGCAGCACCAGCCCCCTGGGCTTTGCCAGAGCCAGCCCTTCACCCCCGTCTTATGGTGATGGAGCTGTCCTGACCAGGAAGTTGTCCCTGGGTGGAGGCCGGCCTTACATGCCGTCCCCTCAAGGTAAGCTGCAGCTCACAGCCTCTGAGCGTCTGTGGCCCTGCAAGGGCGCCCTCGGGCAGTGGGTGGGGCATGCAAGGAGAATCCACTGTCTTCTGGCCTAACCCTGGCACTTCTTCCAAGTGGGGACCATCCCCGAGCGGCCGGGCTGGAGCAGGGTGCCTTCACCACAAGGAGCCGACTTGCGGGTCGGCAGGTCCCCGCGTCCAGGTAAGTGCCGTCCAGCTGTGGGCCTGAGGATTGGGATGGGTGTGCAATAGGTGACCTCCCTTGTTTGGGCCCTCTTCATGTTCTCACAAGTAAGAAAAGTAGGGAGCCGATGAAACTGCTTCACAGCCTTGGGGATGTGAAGGACACCAGGTGGCTGGGGGCCCCTTCTCTACAGCTGTGTGGCCTTGGTACATTTCTTAGCCCTTCTGTGCCTGTTTTCTCAGGTGGGATGTGGAAACTAGATCATGGTCTCCTGGGGTGCTGTTTATGGAACAGGGGGTCCAGAGAGTGGCCACCTCAGAGGCAGCTTGTTTTATGTGCTTTCCACTTGCCTGCTGAGGGCCTGGAGGGTAGTAATGAAGACTGTCCCATCCCCAGGCTCTTCTGTGCCCGAGCACTCCCCCCGCACTGCTGGGCTGGGCTGCCGCCTGCACAGTGCCCCAAACCTGTCCGACCTGCACGTTGTGCGCCCCAAGCTGCCCAAGCCCCCCACGGATCCGCTGGGAGCTGCCTTCAGTCCCCCCCAGGCGAGCCCGCCTCAACCATGCCCTGTGCTGCAGTCCTGCCGGCCCTTGAGAGGTTCGCCCAAGCTGCCTGACTTCCTCCAGCGGAGTCCCCTGCCCCCCATCTTGGGCTCCCCTACGAAGGTAAAGCTTCCAGTAGCACCAAGCTCAAGGGAGGAGATGGTGGAAGAAGGCCAGGTCCCAGTGTCTCATTACCCTTCCTGGTCCCGCTCAGGCTGCCTGGGGACATACAGTGGGACAGGTAGTGGGGTAGGTCTCACAGAGGGCCAGGCCCTCCATAAGAGGCTGCCACATCTGGTAACTGCACCTTCCCTCCGGGAGGCCTTGACAACAGGGCTAGACTGCAGACCACCTTCCAGGAGCCCGGACTCTGCAGCCTTTTGGCTCAACCATGGCTGCTTCCCTGTGGCAATGTGGTACTGTGGCAGAACTGGCTGTTCACTGAGGCGTGTGGATGAAGTAAAGAAGTCTCAAACCAGGTGTAATGGTGTAGTTCTGCTGGCCCCTGTGTGGGTTACACCTGTAATCCCAGCACTCCAGACCCTGGGGTTTGAGGCCAGTCTGGGATGCACTGAATCAAAAAAAGAAAAAAGTCTCAGAAATCCATACTGCTTGAGTGTGGTAGAGCACCTACTTGGCAAGTACGGAGCCCTGAGTTCAAACCCCAGTTCCACCAAAAAAAAAAGAGTTCCATATTGTCAGCCTAGGGAGGTTGTGTGGTCCATGCCTGTTGTCCTGTCTGCAAAAGGTGACCGTAAATATCAGCAGCTTCCTAGAATTGTAAGGGCCCTGAGTGTGTGCGTTATGCTTGTGAGCATTGTGTGTGCAGGTGTTGATCGTGTGGCGTGATGTGTTGTGCACGTGTGAGTGCACGAGTGAGTGTGCACGTGTGCTTGGCCTCAGGCAGGTGCGGCACAAACCCTCCCCGCTATGGTGTGTTGTCCTGGGCGTGCTGACAGCCCAGGTGTTCTCAACATTGTCCCTCCTTCCTAGGTCATACCCTCATTCGACTTTCCCAAGGTCCCTAGCTCCCAGAACCTGTTGACCCTGTTAGCCCGGCAGGGCATGGTGGTGACACCCCCTCGGAACCGCACATTGCCTGACCTCTCAGAGGCTGGACCTTTCCAGGGTCAGCCGCTGGGCTCCGGCCTGCGGCCCACTGAGGACACCCGGAGCCCCTTTGGCCGGTGAGTGGGGTGGTATAGGAGGGTTGTGACCCATGCTGTCCCACCTTCAGCTTCTGACCCACTAATACCATCCTGTACTGTTGTGGCTGCCCGGTGTGGCAGGTGTCGGGGCCCGCCCCAGTGTTGCTCCCCTCCTGAGGCTCAATTTCCTTGTCTAAGATGGAACAATGGCGACACTCGTCTTTGGGGGTGGGCCTGAGGACCTGTGGGCTGGTTAGGCTGGAGCCAGCACCTTGTGAGGTCTAGCGTGCGTGGGGCAAGCAAGGATCCACGCTGCTGAGCCCCCCACTACCAGATCATTACTGCTCACACCACTGCTGCCATCAGGTCCTTCAGTACCAGCCGCCTTACTGACCTGCTCCTTAAGGCTGCATTTGGGACACAGGCCTCAGACTCGGGCAGCACGGACAGCCTGCAAGAGAAGCCCATGGAGATTGGTAGGTGAAGGGCCTTCTGGGGCGGGAGTCGGGGGGCTGCACTGAGGATGTGTGGGAGGTGGAAAGTCCCAGACCAGGCCCTGAGGCTGCCTTGTCCTCCAGCACCCTCTGCTGGCTTCGGAGGGAACTTGCACCCAGGAGCCCGCTCTGGAGGATCCAGCAGCCCGTCCCCAGTGGTGTTCACCGTGGGCTCTCCCCCGAGTGGGACCACACCACCCCAGGGACCCCGCACCAGGATGTTTTCAGGTAATGGTCGTGGGGCTCAGGCAGCACCATAGGGTAGGGTTCATTTTAGTTCAGGGTTGTTTTGTGTGTTCTCCACCCCCAAAGCCTAGGTGTGGGCACCCTTATCAGGGCTGGGGGTGTGGCTTGAGGCCTTGAATGCAAATCCCAGTACCACCAAAACAAAAACAAATGAACAAACCAACAACCAAGTGGTGTTCCCTGAATGAACAGCACCTAGGACACTGGTTTCCTTATCCAGCTGCTTAAAAAGGCTGTCCTGTTGGCCAGGGGTGTTTTGCTCCATGGGGGCTCCTGCCATCTTTGTAGTCAGGGTGCTGGCTGCCCTACCTTATACCCCCAGCATCCTCTTTCTCCCTGGTGCACAGGCTGCCCCTTCACTCCTCAGCTGCACTGCTCTAGCTGCCCTTATCTCCAGGCAGATCTGGGGGCAAGTGTTGGGGAGCCTCAGGCATTCCAGGGTGGGGTCTCAGCTGCTCTGGCCAGCTGTGTTTCCCTGTTACCACGTTAGGATGAAGTGAAGTATAAACCAAGGCACTTCTGGACCCTGGGAGTCAGGGGAGTCCAGAGGGGTAGAGATTGAAGAGTTAGAAGTGGCCTTGGCTGCTTTGTCCCTTACCGGCAGTCTTTCCACAGTGGGCTCCTCGAGTTCTCTGGGCTCTGCAGGCTCTTCCTCTGCCCGCCACCTGGTGTCTGGGGCCTGCGGTGAGGCCACCCCTGAGCTCCCTGCACTGGGCCATTGCTGCAGCTTTGCTGACCCTCTTGCTGCCAACCTGGAGGGGGCTGTGACCTTTGAGGCACCTGACCTCCCAGAGGAGACCCTCATGGAGGTGAGGCCAGGGCTCCCCTTTGGCTGGAGTTTGCGTGCTTCTGGTGGAGGGCTGTGTATCCCTGGCAGATCCCATCCTCCCACCTCCCCTTGCGTAGGCATCCACATCTCAGCCCCCTGCCTGACCTTTGGTTTCCCCCAGCAAGAGCACACGGAGATCCTGCACAGCCTGCGCTTCACGCTCGCGTTCGTCCAGCAAGTCCTAGAGATTGCAGCCCTGAAGGGCAATGCCAGTGAGGCGGCCGTGGGCCCCGAGTACCAGCTTCAGGAGAGCATGGTGGCCGACCAGATCAGCCTGCTGAGCCGCGAGTGGGGGTGGGTGTTGCCTGAGGGCAGGGAGGGCGGCAGCCTGGGGCCTACACTGCCTCTCACCTGCTCACTGCCCTCAGCTTCGCGGAACAGCTGGTGCTGTACCTGAAGGTGGCGGAGTTGCTGTCCTCTGGCCTGCAGACTGCTATTGACCAGATCCGGGCTGGCAAGCTCTGCTTGTCATCCACCGTGAAGCAGGGTGAGTGCTGTCACCCATGCAGCTGAGCTTGAAGCAAGGCAGGGTGGGAGAGCGGAGACCACAAAGGCAGATCCAAGCAGAGAGAGGAGCACCTCCAGCTGGGGTACAGAGGCCTCTGCACAGCCCTGTGCTGAGCACAGAGGACATGGGGTCATACGGGACAGACAGCAACACTGGACGTGATGCTTAGCCAAGGGGTAGGGAATGCTGGGGACTGGCTGTGATGAGGACAGTACGTGCTTACTCTTCCCTCCCCATGTCCCCTGCAAGTGCCATCCAGGCTGCTACCTGTGGGGTGGAGTCCGTGCGCCTTCTGCCTGTGGATCAGCTGGTCTCTGCAGCGGGTGCTGATCCCCCGCCCCCAAACCCCTTCCTCCTCCCTCCACAGTTGTGCGCAGGCTGAATGAGCTGTACAAGGCCAGCGTGGTATCCTGCCAGGGCCTGAGCTTACGACTGCAGCGCTTCCTCTTGGACAAGCAGCGGCTACTAGATGGCGTCCACAGTGTCACTGCTGAGCGGCTCATCCTCAGCCATGCCGTGCACATGGTACGGGCAGTAGGGCTCTGTGGGTATCTGGCTGTGTGGCTCCTCCTTAGGCATGCTGGGCCGTGGCACGGTGCTGTAGCTGCAGCCTCCTGAGGGCCCTGGTGACCAGGTTACTGTGCAGTTCCCCAGCCCTCAACCACTCTTTTCCCCGAGACTCCCCAGCTAACATGAGAGAGGCCTAGTCTCTAACGCTTGCCATAAGTCAGCCTCTGAAGCTCTGTGCAGGGCCACACAGCCTTGAGTGTGAAGCCTGTGGCTGCCAGGGTGCCTCTCTGCTCAAGGCCCCAAGACATTGCCTCTGGTTTTTTTTTTTTTTCCTTGTGGTACTGGGGTTTGAACTTAGGCCCTACATACAGGTTGAGCCACCTCCAGCCCTTTTTTGTGATAGGTTTTTTCCAGATAGGATCTTGTGAACTGTTTGCCTGGGCTGGCTTAGAACCTTGATCCTCCTGATCTCTGCCTCCTGAGTAGCTAGAATTACAGGTGTGAGCCACCAGTACCCCGCTAGGCCTCGGTTTTGAGATAATTGGTACTTGTAACAAATGTGTCTGTCAGAGGAAAGCCATGGGGGCAAATCTACCTCCCCCTGGGCAGGACTGGCCACTTGCTGCTGATACTTTGTGCTGTCACCACAGTGGCAGGAACAAACAATACTGAGTGAGTGCTTTTGAGCCTCACGGCCAGCACCACCACACTGACTGACCTGCAGTGGGGTTGAGGGCCACCGCCAGACCAGTCAGACAGCACATGGCCACACAGGGCTGAGCTGCTCGCCTGGCTCTGCACATCTACAGTTCCTAACTCCCTTGCTGCCTTGGCCATGTGGGCATAGCATTGCTTGTGCCCTCCACACGACAGCGCTCTCTGCTTGTCTACTACTGTGTGAGGTGTGCTGAGACTGGCTGGCCACTGGCCGCCGCCCTGGAGCCAGCCTGTGCTTTTGGCCCTTTGTCAGTGTCACGCCAGCTCAGCCCCTGCCTGCAGGTGCAGTCAGCCGCCCTGGATGAGATGTTTCAGCACCGTGAGGGCTGTGTGCCACGCTACCACAAGGCCCTGCTGCTGCTGGAGGGGCTGCAACACATGCTCACGGACCAGGCTGACATCGACAGCATTGCTAAGTGTGAGTGTGCCCTAGCCCGTGGCCTGCGTGGGCAGGCAGGCGCCTCCCAGCTCACACTGTCCCTCTCACAGGCAAGCTGTGCATTGAGCGGAGACTCTCGGCCCTGCTGACTGGCATCTGTGCCTGACCCTCTGCTGCCTGGCCGACTGTGTCTGAGGAGCTGGACCCTCTCTGCAAACGCTGTAGGGTGGGCTCTGTGTGCTGGCTGCACCAACAGGACAGGTCTGTCCACCTCAGCGTTAATTTGATGGTGCTGAGACTGTTGCCAGTCAGCTCCAGCATGGATGCTGGGTGGAGCTACGGCGTCTGAATCCTACAGCCTGGCGTAGCTCTTGCTTCCTTGGCTGCCTGTCTCTGCTGGCAGGTGGACTGCAGGATGCAGGGGACGGCTCCCTTGGTCTGCTGGGGTTGGAATTTCTGAACTTGTCTTCCCTGGCTGCCTCCTCCAGCAAGCAGGCACAGAGCCAAGAGGTGGCAGGCTGGCATATGTGGGCATCCGCCACCTTTGAGAGCCCAGGGAAACCTCAAGGACAGGCAGGGCCCTGAGACTGTGTTGCTGATTCCAAGCCAAAGGGAGCTTTTTCTCATGGCTCACTTGCCCTGTTACCCAGGAAAAGGGGAGTGGTCTCCCACCCCCCGCGACCCCATCCCACCATCTCTCTAGGAACCTCTCCCTCTGAGACCAGCCGCCCAGCTTTGTAAGTCACCTAAGCACTTTATGCAGACAGACTGGAGAACTCGGCCCCATAGCGGCCAATAGCGCAGACCGCTGGGAAGCCAGCTCTTGCCTTCCCAGGTGTTGGACGTGTGCAGATACACCTGCATCCTATATAAATAGCCCCAAGTGCACCACTGCCTGTACCTGGCCCTTGAAAGGGAGATGGACAGGCTCACCCACCAGAGAAGAGACAGTCCTCGTATTTAAATGTTCTTTTAGGGACAGTCGGTATGAAACACGAGCTTTGTAAACACAACAGCTGTTGTAATCTTCACACTTTACTTCTAAAATGTGTCTTCTTTTTTCCGCAGCTCATTTTTTCTTTAAAGAAGGAAACTTAGTTGTTTAAGAAATTGCTTTGAAAGGGTGGAGGACAGGTTAGAGTGGGACAGGAAGGGTGTGGAATTGCCACAGATGCCTAGCTGCCAGAGGTGGTGGCAACCAGATGTGTGGCTGAGGGTGTGACAAGGCTGCTGTCCAGGCCACCTGCTGAAGTGTATGTGTGCATCTGTGGCTGGCTGTTTCCCCACTGTCCTGCTCTGTGGGGTGGGCAGGCAAAGGGGAATTTGCAACAGGAAAGATAACACATATGCAAAACCTCCCCACAAACTTTCCAGACCGCCTAGATGGCAGGACTCTTGCGCCTGGTGGCCTTTGGGGTCTGTAGGCCTGTCTTCCGGGCTCCAGGGTGGGTGCAAGCTGGACAACTGCCTGGGCCTCTCTGGTCTGCCAGCCCATGGCTCAGCTTAGCTCTGCCCAAACCTACTTGAATGTATCTTAGTGTCCACGGGAAAATGTGGGTCTGTGGTTCCCCCAGCAAGGATTCAAAGTCACATGCCACATACACAAAACACGTGTGTTTTCTTTGCAATACTTGAAATATTGCCACTGTGCTTGGACAAACGAGCATACATCGCCAAGACTGATTTCCTTTCTCATTGCCCCACAGCCACCTTGCTGCATGTAAGTAAGTGTTGTATTTATTGCTTTTTCCGACTGGGATTCAGAGCTCCAGGGGGCCAGGTGCAGGAGGTGCCTCGCCCACCTCCTGGGCCTTGGCTTCCTGGTGGCCATGTGCGTGGCTGCTTGCGTGTGCTTTGAGCAGAATCTCTTCTCCACAAGGTAGTAGTGCCCAGCCCTCTATCTTTTAAAATGAATTTTGTGTGAGTCCCCCCCCTTTTATGTTTCTCTGTGTAAAACCAATTTAAGGAAATAAACCGTTCAAACCCCAGTGCCACCAAAAAAAAACAAGGAAATAAACCTTTGGAATTGTTGGTGTGGTGTCACTGGTCACCCTCATTACTTTGCCACTGTTCTTCGTGTCCATCTGTGCAGGATGGCCTACGTCACTCAGCGAGGCAAGGACTCTCAGGGACAGCCGGGTGGATTTGTTGCTGAGTCCTTCCTAGCAGGAAGCAGCCTCCACCACCAGGCTAAGGGGAGCAGGGGGCCTCTCAAAGGTGACAGCAGGCAGTGCAGCGCCTGGAGTGCAGCTTTCAGTTTTCTCAGAGATGCACCGGGAGGATATTTCATGGCGCCCCCAGACCACTCCCTCAGTCGCCTCAGTGGGAACCTTCTGTGGACACGTGCAACACACTCCCTCTTTTTTCGGAGATAGTTCTTGAACGCCTGTGTAGGCAAGCCACCCCCACCTCAGCCTGGGGAGTCGGTTCTTCCCTGGGGCTGCCTCACCAGCTCTCCTTGAACCCTTGGTCTTATGCATGCTTTGGGTGTGGCGTGGTGCTCACTCTGATGGCTGATGATGCTGGCCATCTGAGAGTGCTCATCACCTACCTCTTGCTTCTGTGTCTCATTTGGTGGAATGTCCAAGTCTTGCCCATTTTCCTGCTATTTTTTTCTTCAGAAAACAAGGTTCACCACCACACAACCTGCTGGTGATGCCCTCTGCCCAGTTTTGAGTTGAGCTCTTTGCCTTTTTATTGCTGGATTGAGAGGTTTCCTTTTTTAAGCTATTGTTTTTACAAGATAAAATTAACATTAGATTACTAAAAAGGCTAACTGCAGTATTAAAAATGAAAGTTCATCCAGAGGAAATGGAGAGTGGAGACCTGAAGTTGGAGAGGGGACGCTCCAAGTGACCCTGAGGTACTTGCAGGAAGAGCCCAGCCCAGGAAGGTTCTGCCTGGCTGGCTGGCTACAGCGTCGAGCTCTTTCACATGAGTGACAGAAATGGTGAGATGGTCACCAGGGTCGTGCAGTTCTGTAGTATTTATTTCTCTGGAGGAGTTTTGGTTTGCATAAAAACTGAACAAGGGCCAGGCACCGGTGGCTCATGCCTGTAATCCTAGCTGCTCAGGAGCCAGAGATAAGGGGGATCGTGGTTCGAAGCCAGCCCGGGCAAATAGTTCACGAGACCCTATCTCCAAAAAACAAAGTTCTGGTGGAGTGGTTCAAGGTGAAGGGCCTGAGTTCAAGCCCCAGTACTGTAAAAAGCAAACAAAAAACTGAACAAGGAGCAAGAGGATTCCCATCTACCCCTCTCCCCGCCCTCCCACTGGTGTCCCTTGCCATTAGCTCGTTACACTCATTGCTGCAGCACCGTCAATACTGATACCTTATCATCCACAGCCCATGGGGTTGTTGCACAGTCTAGAGGGTTGTGGGTTTTTTTTTTTTTAATTTTTTTTTGGCAGTACTGGGTTTGAATTCAGGGCTTTATGCTTGCCAGGCAGATGCTCAAGCACTTAAGCCACTCTGCCAGCTGTGTTTTTGTTTTGTTGAGATAGGGTCTCTATGTTGATCCTGCCTCAGCCTCCTGAGGTGGGATTCCAGTTTGTACTGCCATGCCTGGCTTAAGTTTGTGTTACCAGTTTTTTGTTTTGCAGTGTTGGGATTGACCCCAGGGCTTTGTGCATGTTAAGTAAGCACCCTACCACTGAACTACACCCCAGCCTTTCTAATTTTGTTTCGAGATGGTGGTCTTTGCTGTGCAGCATCCCACGGTCGGCCAACGTACGACAAACGTGTGTGGTGTCATGTGTCCTCTCCCCCACCATTGTATCACACAGAACACTTCACTCTCCCACAACTCCTGTGCCACACCTGTTCATCTGCACCCGTGGTGACTACTGTGTCTGTAGTTTGACCCCTTCTGGGGTGACACCGGTGAAATCACACAGCCGTTGATTACTCTCCCACTGAGCGCTTCCAAGCTTAGGGAGTTAGAAACAGAGCAGTGTAAACCTCCGTGGGCAGGAGCTTGAAGGGGGGGTGGCCTCGTGCAGAGCCTGGTCCCCTTGCCAAAGACCGCAAGCTGCACTTCCAGCACAGGCTCAGCGGGAGGGCCAGCCTCTGGTGGCCGCACAGGGGCTCCAGCCTTGAGTTCGGGCAACCCGGGGGCCTGTGAAGGAGGAGCACTGAGATCAGCTCTTGCATAGTGAGGTGACAGGGACCTCGGTCATCTTTCATTTCCACTACCTGACACACCTGACAGTCAGGACCTGTTAGGGTGGCTACGTTTCTGTCCCCCTCCCCAGAAAGCTGTGGAGTGGGAGGTCTGCTGGTGCGACTACCCACCGACCTGGAATTCTGAGTGGGTCTCACTGCCTCCAGCTGACTGGTTGAGACCATTTGCCCACAGAACAGGTGTGGCTGCCCTGGTGGTGGGCACACTGAGGGGCAGGAGACATACCTCCTGAGCTGCAGATACAGCAAGGCTCACCATGGGAAGGCAGGAGAAGGGATGCTGGGGTCCCAAGCTCCCAGGAGGGCCCTCACTCCTGAGAGCAGAACAGGAGGGGCTGTTTGGGCCCCGCAACTCACTGAGGGCTCTGTCCAGCCCTCTGCACATCCACTTCTGTCTGAGCCAAAGCCAAGATCTTTCTGTTGCTCATGAGGCCCCTGATCTGGCTTCATTTCTCACTACTGTCTCTGCCACCTTTGTTGTGGGGGGGGCGATGGTACTGGGGTTTGAACTCGGGGCCTCACTTTCTAGATAGGCTCTCTACCACTTGAGCCCTCTCTGTCACCTTGTGGTGTCTCTAACTGCAGAATCTAGGAATGGTGTGTCCTGGTTCTACCGATTCCATCTGGAGAAGGAGCAAGCAGAGAGGCAGGCCTCTCCCAGCCTGGCATGCTTCTGCCCCAGGGTCCTTTAGTCTGCTGGGAACACACTTCTCCCACAACACCTCCTGCCCCAAATTCAAGTTTGTGGTCAGCTGAGTTATATTGCCCAGAGGTGTCCAGGTCCTGATACCTGGAGCCTGTATGTGGCTTTACATGACAAGAGGGACTCTGCAGATATGATTAGCTCACGCTAAGGATTTTTTTTCTTTCTTTTTTTTTTTTTTAGTTGGAGTCTAGCTACATAGCCCAGGCTGGTCTGGAACTCACTCTGTGGCCTCTATCCTCATGCCTCAGCCTCCCGAGTGCTGGGATTACCGGAGCCTGGGAGAGTATCCTGGATCAGCCAGGTGAGCCCAGTGGAATCCTATGAACATCTTTAAGGGAGAGGAGGAGACAGAAAGAGTCAGAGAGATGCAGAGATGTTAAGCAGAGGTCAGCCAAACTTCTCCTGTCTCTGTAAAAGGGCCGGGTGCCGGCGGCTCCATAGCTCATGACTGTAATCCTAGCTTCTTGGGAGACTGAGGTCAGGAGGATTGCAATTGGAGGCCAGTCTAGGCAAATAGTTCATGAGACCCCCATTTGCAAAAGAACCAATCCCCCCACCCCCCAAAAAATAATTAAAAGGATGCAGGTTGAGGGTGCTCAAGATGCATGTGGTGGTCAGAAAATGGAGGGACCGAGTCTTGGAGAAGGAATGGGCTCCAACACTAGTTTCTCTGGCAGTTGTTCCTCCAGGGATCTTGTTGGCTGTGAAAAAACTCACACCAGTCCTTGACAAAATGAGAAAGTAAGAACAATGCATTGAGCTTCGCATGACAGACATTTTTCATTTAAAGGAAATAAGGTGATGGTAGGTATTTTTTAATTTTTTTTTCATTTTTTTTTGTGTGTGGAGAACTTCGGTTTGAACTCAGGGCTTCATGCTTGCAAAGCAGGCACTGTACCTCTTGAGCCACACCTCCAGTCCATTTTGCTCTGGTTATTTTGGATATAGGGTCTTATGAACTATTTTCTGGGGCTGGCCTCGAACCATGATCCTCCCAATCTCAGTTTCCTGAAAAGCTAAGATTACAGGCATGAGCCACTGGTGCCCACCTTTTCTTTTCTTTTTTGCGGTACTGGGGCTTGAACTCAGGGTCTTCACCTTCACCTTGAGCCACTCCATCAGCTGTTTGTTTTTTTTTTTTCAAGATAGGGTCTCAAGAACTATATGCCTAGGCTGGCTTCGAACTGTGATCCTCCTGTAGCTAGGATTACAGGAGTGAGCCACAGGTGCTGGGCTTTTTTTTTTTTTTTATATCATCCTGTGTGCACAAGTAAAAAGATAGCTGGGAGCTGGGAGCCGGCGGCTCACACCTGTAATCCCGGCTACTCAGGAGGCAGAGATCAAGAAGATTGCAGTTCGAAGCCAACCCCAGGCAAACAGTTTGTGAGACCCTATCTTGATAATACCCAAGAGAAAACAGGGTTGGTGGAGTGGCTCAAGTGATAGAGTGCCTGCCTAGCAAGAGTGAGGCCCTGAGTTCAAACTTCAGTAACACACACACACACACACACACACACACACAAAGATTGAGCTGGAGGGTGGGGATGTAGCTCAGTGGTAGAGCACTTCCTCGAATGCACGGGGCCCTGGTTCCATCCCTAGCGCTGCAAAAAGAAAAAAAAAACAGCTAACTCTGATGAGTCTCTGTGCCTGTCTGTGCCCAGCCTTGCTGTCTGTAGCATGAGGGCAAGGACGGTTTCCTGGGATTAAATGCGCGGGTGCATCAGGGGATCCCAGCAACGCCTGGCAACAGCAAGCTGATGTCACCGCAGACTTGCTAACAGGAAAGGCTGGTGGTGGTCTGCACCCTGCCCAGCCAGCGGGTGGAAGTGCAAAGACCAGTTGTGCCTGGTGCTGTGGGACTTGAGGCAAGGTGCCTTGCTCCTCTGTTTCTCTGGTCCTCTTCAGTGGCAGAGGGTGGGTGCGAGGATGGAACGGGTTAACCACGTGGGCGTTATCCGCTTTGATTACTTCTTCCTGCCAAGACTCGCACCCTGGTGCATTCGTAATCCGCACATCTCACTGAAGTATGTTCCCTTTGCACCGCCAAGCCTTTCCCCAGCCCGGCTTTTGGCCGCGGGCCTCGTGAGGCTCACGGAAGCGCCTGGACCAGCCGGGAGCCTGGGTTACGAGGCTCCGCCCACTTCCCCGCCCACACAGAACTGGCCACGCCCACTCACGTCCCGCGCCGCAGCTCTGCCCAGGAAGACTTTTGTCCCTGCTCGGCCGCCGTCCAGCGCGCTTCGGCTTCCTGTCTCGCCCACGTGGTCGGCCTCCGCCGGGTCCGCGGCGTCGTGAGTGGGTCGGGCGGGAGCCACGCTGGTCTTCACGAACGGGCCGGGTCCCGAGGACAGCTCTCCGGGCGGGGCGGGAGGAGGAGGGACCAGGGAGGTCAGAGGTCAACTGGGGGTCAGGGGCGCCCGGGAGACCACAGGTCAGAGTTCAGGAGGGCGGGGCTGGAACCTCGGCGGGCCTGAAGAAGTCAGAGATCAGGAGGGCCAGGGCAGGGGCATCGGGGGTGGGGTGGGGGGGCGGGGTTCTCGAGGAGGTCGGGGTCAGAGTTCGGCAGGGGTCAGAGTTCGGCAGGGTTCCGGGAGGCGAGGGTCCGGCGCCTGTATCCCGCCGCGCATGGGCGTCCCCGGCCTGTGGGCCGCGCTGCTGAGAGCCTGGGGACAGTGGACCGCGCGCCTCGGCCCGCGCGCCCCCGGGTAAAGACCCCGCGCTGCCCGGCGCTGCCCCGCGCTGCCCTCCTCTGCCCACTTCCACCCACCTCGGCCCGCGCGCCCCCGGGTAAAGACCCCGCGCTGCCCACTTCTGCCCACCTCTGCCCCACGCTGCCCACTTCTGTCCACCTCTGCTCTGCGCTGCCTATCTCTGCCCAACTTCTGCCCTGTGATGCTCACCTCTGCCGTCTTCTGCCTAGCACTGCCCAGCGCTGCCCACCTCTGCCCCACGCTGCCATCCTCAGCCCCATACTGTCCACCTCTGCCCCACCCCCTCCCGCCTCTACCGACCTCCGCTCACCCCCTCTGCCCACCTCAACCCATCTCTGCCCACCTCTACCTGGCACAGCCCAGTGCTGAAAACCATTGCCCAGTGCTATCCCATGCTGCCCACCAGTGCCTGACCCTGCCGAGTGCCCTGTCCCGTTGGTCTGCCCCTGAGCTCCAGTGAGAGCTGCCAGGTGGCTCTGCACTGCCATCATCCTTGCTGCCTCCACTCACTCACTCACACCTGTCTTCTCAGCTGGCTCCCCATGGCAGGGAACGAGGTGCCCCCAGCGCTGGCCTCAGTCCAGCAGAACAGGAAGGCCCGCGGTGGCTGGGTCTGGCAGGAGACGCAGCATCCGCCCAAGAGGCTGAAGGGCAGTGAGGATGAGGAACCACCGCGGAAGCCGCCCAAACGCAAGATCGTGCTGCTCTTGGCCTACGCGGGGAAGGGCTACCACGGCATGCAGGTGAGCGCCACACCTGGACACGGCTGCCTTGGCTCAGCTCCTGCTGGCCCGGTGCCGCTGTGCGGCTTCCCACAGGGACCTCAGAGTGAACCCGGGGAACAGTGAAAACGGAGAGCTGTGCGTGGGTCTCCCTGCCACGATTTAGGTCCTCGAGCCCTGCTCTGAGAGTGACTGTGCTGGGTGTGTCTGGTCATCCCAGCACGGTGGTCAGGGCCAGCTTGGTGGCTGACCCACATGTGATCTTGGGTAAATGGGTGAGTCTGCCTTACTTCCTCCTTATTAGGACAGGCGTGCACAATCCTTAATGGGGTCTAAGAGACTAGGTTTACCAATGAGAAGGGCAGGGACTGTGGGCAACAGCCATGTACCTGGGCAGCAGGTGTTGCTTGTCCTGCATGGCGAGGGCTGCTGAGCTCCAGAAGGGCACTGGGGAGGTCTAGCAAGCTGGCCCCTGGGTTCCCTACCTGGCACAAAAACTTGGCCCTGACCAATGCAGGTGGACTCTGTTCCTCCTTGTAGCCACCTCTGCGGTCACTTGACCCACACTCTGTCAACTTGTTTAAGGCTGGCCAGCAATGCGAAGTCATGGGCAAACTGAAATACGAGTCCCAAGAAAGTAAGGTGTGAGTTGAGCAGACAGAATACTGATTTTCACTCTGAACGATATGGGTACTTACTGATGTTATTATTGTGTTGCAATAGTGTTAGTGCTCACACAGTTCAGTTCGTGTCCTAGTCTACTTCCTTTTTTTTGGCGGTACTAGGGTTTGAACTCAGGGCTTTGCACTTGAGAGGCAGGTACTCTACTGCTTGCGCCATTCCTCCAACCCCTATCTTACCTTTTTTTTCTTTTAATTTGTTATTCATTTATTCACATGTGCGTACATTGTTTGGGTCATTTCTCCCCCCTCCCCTACCCTATCTTACTTTAAAAAAAAAAAGTATAAGTTTGCTGGTGTGGTGGCTCACACACCTGTAATCCCTAAGCTCAGGAGGTGGAAGGAGAAGGAACACAAGCTTGAGGCCAGCCTGAGCTACATAGTGAGACCCTACCCCCTCTGCCCCCCAATAAAAAGTATGCTCCCTAATTTTGTGACAGTTGGTAGATGGTGACAGTAGGCTGGAAAACATGGCTTCAGTCCGAGTTAGCCTCAGATGTTCTAGTTGAACCCACAGATACATCCCTTGCTCTTTGGGTGTCTGGTATGCTTTGTTTTCCTTCCTTCCTACCTCTTTCCTTTGGTCTCAATGTGCAACCTGGGCTAGGCTGGAATCCACTCAGCCTCTCCACAGTGTCAGGATTACAGTGTGTTGTGCTCATCTGCTTGACATGTTTTGTGGGAGTAATTTTGATTATGTAAGCCTTTTTTTTTTTTTTTTGTGGGACCAGGGTTTGAACTCAGGGCTTCATGCTTGCAAAGCAGGTGCTCTACCTCTTGAACCTCACCTTAATTCTATTTTGCTCTGGTTATCTTGGGAGATGGGGGGGAATCTTCAGAACTATTTGCCAGGCTGGCCTTCAACCACAGTCCTCCCATCTCCACCTCCCAAGTAGCTAGGATGACAGGGATGAGCCACCTTAAGGTTTTTGCTGTAGGCTCTGTCTTGAGAACTTGGTGTCTTATCAGCTTCTGCTTGCCTCGGTTTCTCCACTAGGGAGATGGTGGGGTGATGAGCTCACAGGGCTGAGTGAAGGGTTGTTTTCCGACATTACATCATTTGAGAAATGTTCATGATTTTACACCAAGTAACTGGTAGGAACCTGCAAGGTAGACTCTAGGAGAGTCTTCCCCCTAGCGGGAGCCATGGTAAAACACATGTAGCCCTGTGTCCCTGAATTGAGAAGGCGTTCTGTGAGAATGAGGTGCAGGCGTCCCTGTTTTGGTCATGGGGTCCTGCAGACTCTGGACCAGCACTCAGTAGGCCAAGAGGTGCAGCGTTCGACATGGCTCTGGAAGCAGCGCTGTCCTTCTTGGTAGGCATTCACTCCAAGAGGTCCCATGACCTCTTGGTCCCATGAGCCAGGGTTTAAGAAAAGCCTAGAATGCCAAAGCCAGCCAAGGGACAGTGGGGAGGGTGAAGCCGTCCCCTGTGCTCAGAATTGGTCCTGGTGCTGGTCCTGAGGCCATCTGCATTGTGGATATGGCTGAGTCTGGTTGCCCCAGTGGCTTTCCTGTCTCCCCAGTGTGCAGCACCCAAGGCCCAGGCAGGGATATGAAAAGAATCTGTCTCCTTTTTCCAGAGGAATGTGGGGTCCTCACAGTTCAAGACCATAGAGGATGACCTTGTGTCTGCCCTGGTCCAGGCAGGCTGTATTCCTGAAAATCATGGCACAGACATGAGGAAGATGTCCTTCCAGCGATGTGCCCGCACAGACAAGGTAGGTGCTGCCTGATCCTGGCCTGCAGCTCATGGCCTTCTGTCCTAGGGTCCCATTGGTCAGAACTGCTACACAGGACAGGCCTGCGCCACAGGAGCCTAAAGCAAAGAATGGTTTGCTTTGCGTAGCTGAGAGGTCGGAGCATGACCGGCTTAGCTGTGGCTGTGTCTCGCTGGGCACTGGCAGAACTGTGTCCACTGGCCTTTGCTTCTTTTCTGTCAGCTCACCCTGCAGGTGGCAGGTGGCTGTGACCTCTGCTGTAGATCCATCCCCATCACCTCACCGGTGCAGAAAGGGTTGTGGCTGTGGAGGTGAGCCACAGTTGTAGTGTGGTGTTGCTGGTAGCCTCATTGAAAAGGCAGAGGAGTTGGCGAGGTTGCTCTGAGTGATCAGTGGCGTATAGCTGAGTATACGTGCTCATTTCAATGTGCAATCAACATAAAATGCGGCAGTATCACCCTTCTCCCAGCATATGCTCTTTAAACGCAGTGTGTTCTCACACGCTAAGCTGCTACACTGACCCATCCCGTGGACGTGGCCATATGTGGCTGGTGGCCCAGCCCATGCACTCTGAATCACAACCTTGAGTGCCACTGTCCCAGCTTTATGTTCATCCTGTGCTCAGTTCCTGGCTAGTGTGGCAGCACATGCTGAGTGGCCACACTGCGCCATGTTCCTGGGCCTAGGAGTGTGCAGGATGACTCCCCAGGACTGGACTTGTGTCACCTGAGGGGACCTGCTGCGGGTAGGTAGAGAGCACATGGCTCTTCTGTAGCACACAGGAAGCATGATGGGAGCTGGTCACAGTGACGCACACCTGAAATCTTAGCACTCAGAAGGCTGAGGCAGGACAATCATGAATTTGAGGCCAGCCTGGACTACAATAGCGAGACTCTGTCTCAAAAAAATAAAAATGCCGGGTGCTCATGGCTTGTGCCTATAATCCTAGCTATTCAGGAGGCAGATCACAGTTCGTTTCGCTTTTTTTTTTTTTCTTCTCTTTTTTCTTTGTGTATGACTGCGGTTTGAACCAGGGCTTTGCACTTGTAGAGCATGCACTTTACCATTTGAGTCGTACTCCAAGAATTTCAGTTCAAAGCCAGCACAGGCAAATAGTTCATGAGACCCTATCTTGAAAAAACCCATCACAAAAACAACTGGCAGAATGGCTAAAGGTGTAGGCCCTGAGTTCAAACCCTAGCACCACCAAAAAACAAAAAGCAAGCACAGTAAGAATCAGAAACCTGATCTCTATTCTTCAGAACCTGGCCATTGAGGGTACCCGGCACTGTCCTGGACACAGAGTTTTGCAAGTCAGCACTCTTGTGGATTTGCAAAAAGCTTTGGCTCTTGTTCCTACACCCATCTAATTTTAAAGGTACACCAGTCCCCTGGACCCATGAGCCCAGGCCAGACCTGGGCATGGAGCCGCCCTGCACATAGGGAAGAAGCAGACCCAAGCCACAGTTCCCTGTGGGGCAGTGATGGTTGGAGCCATCTGTGGTTCTTACTGTTTTTCACTTTCTTTCTGCTCTTCCATTTGCAGCTCTCTGATTGTTTTCGAGGCAGAAGAGTAAAAACTCTCCTGAACTGATGGAGAGCACATTTCAGAACATGGTCCCTGCATTGGTTTCCTTTCTGTTACTTAGAAAAGCTTTAGTCTCTTTTTCTGCTTCTTTCAGTAGAAACCTTTGAGGCTGATTCAGCATCTGTGCACCCAGCCCCTTGGACACCACAGGAACATTTATTTATTTTTATTTACTTGGGGCACTAGGAATTGAACTCCAGGCCTTGTGCATGCTTGGCAACTGCTGAGCATTGAGCTGCACCCCTGCCCTAAAGCCTAAAGTGCACTAATTTTTTTTTTTTTTTTTGGTGAGACTAGGGTTTGAACTCAGGGCTTCATGCTTGCAAATCAGGTGCTCTTCCACTTGTGGCACACTTCCAGTCCATTTTGCTGTGGTTATTTTGGAGATGGGGTCTCTTGAACTATTTGCCTACACTAGCTGTGAACTGTGATCCTCCTAATTTCAGCCCCCCAAGTAGCTAGGGTTATAGGTGTGAGCCACAGGCACCATGCTCAAGTTTGCTAATTTTAAGTGTAGGACTTTATTGGTTTCTAACCTATGCATGTGTCTGTGTCTCCAGCCCCATCCCCAGAAGGCCCCTCTTGGCCCATGCAGATTGTTGCCTCTCTCAAACCATCCCCCACCCCCACCCCCGCCATAGGCACTGTTGTGTTGTGACATAGATGGGACCCCCTTTCTTGCTGTGCTCTTTTTTTTTTTGGTGGTATTGGGGTTTGAACTCAGGGCTTTCTGCTTGCCAGTCAGGCATTCTACTATTTGAACCACACCTCCACCTCTTGCTGTGCTCCTAGTTCTGTTACATAGTGCCTTCTCCCTCTTCCCTCATCCCTGGGAGTCAGCCTCTGTGGGACTGTTTCCTTCTGCCCTCAATGCAGTGTTGGGTTCTGATGCCACTCACAGCAGTTGGTGTGCTCACCTTGACCGAGTGGCACTGTTTTCACACCTGCCTGACCCTTGGGTGCCAAGTGCTGTGTTGGAGGACCAGTCCTAGCTGGATCCACCTCTCCTCCATGCTCTGCTTTCTTTATAGGGTGTGTCTGCAGCTGGCCAGGTAGTGTCCCTGAAGGTGTGGCTGATCGATGACATTCTGGACAAGATCAACAGCCACCTTCCATCCCACATTCGGATTCTTGGTAAGCCTTGCAGCATGGGTGGTTGCAGTGAGACCCGAGTCTGTGTGCCGTGGGAAGTGGAGCAGGATAACCGAGTAGGTGCTTAGCAGGTGGTGGGTGGCTGTGATTCTTCATCCAGAGTTCAGTATTGCCATGTTTGTGAGAGCCAGACAGCCGAGTGGGCAGAGTCAGAAACCTTTCTGTGGCACTGCTGTGTTGCTCCATGGGTTCCTGGTCTTAATCACACACTAGCCATGAACATCTCATTTGTGGTTAAAATGGGGCAGCTGTCCTGTTTATAACAGGAAGGATTGGTAAATGGGATTTTTAGTCCCTTTTTGTAGTGCTGGAGGTTGAACCAAGGGCTCCAGGTTATATGCCTAGACCAGCCTCCCTCCCTCCTACCTTCCTCCCTCTTTTCCTTCCTCCTTCCCTTCCTCCCTTTTTCCTTCTCTCCCTTCCCTCCCTCCCTTTTTCCCTCTTCTCTCCCTCCTCTTCCTCCCCTTTTTAAAAAAGAAAAATCTGACTGCCTTGGCGTCTGAAGTGGTATGTACAGGCCACTTGCATCTCATCTAGCTTTGGCATGACTGTGTGCCTCTGCCCTCTTGCTATTTTCTCTGTGCTCTATCTGTTCATTGTTCCCATTTCCTTTCTTCCTTCTTTTGGACTAACGTTCATTTTTTTTTGGTGGAACTAGTGCCTGAACTTGGGGCTTTGGGCTTGCAAAGCAAGTACTCTACAGCTTGAGCCACACTTCCAGTCCATTTTGCTGTGGTTGTTTTGGAGATGGGGTCTAACTATTTGCCTGGGCTAGCCTTGAACCATGATACTCCAGATCTTAGCCTCCCAAGTAGCTGGGATTACAGGCATGAGCCACCAGCACCCAGCCTAATCAGTATTCTTTTTTTGGTGGTACTGGGGTTTGAACTCAGGGTCTCACACTTGCTAGGCAGGTGCTCTATTGCTTGATCGATCCACTCCCCCAGCTCTTTTTTTGTTGGGTGTTTTTGAGAAAGGGTCTGACACATTACTTGCCTGGGCTGCCGTGATCCTCCTGATCTCTGCCTTCTGAGGAACTAAGATTACAGGCATGAGACACGGGTGCTTGGCTTAATTGATATTCTTTATAATTTCATTTGATTGTCACCTGTTTTTGGCTATTATCTGTAATTTGTGTTTTCTTAGTGATTGCTTTGGAGTTTAAATGAAAAGCTGGCAAACTTTTTCTGTGAGGGTCAGACAGTACATCTTCCAGGCTGATGCACCACAGACTAAGCTCTTTTTGCACGTTTCTCTCTTTCCTTGACCACTCTTTCAGTCTCGTATCACAGGCTGCACAGAAACCCGCTGTGTATTGGGCACAGTTTGCCAGTCCCTGGTGTATTCTCTTTACCATAGTCTACCCTCCAGTGAATTAGGGGTTGTAGCATGCTAGCATACCATGCACAAGTCCCTGGGTTTAATCCCAGCATTGGTATCCCCTCTTCCCGCCCCAAAAAAACCCCAAACAATACAATTTATGCAAAACAACAGGGCTGGAGATGTGGCTTAAGTGGTTGAATGCCTGTCTAGGAAGTGCACCGAATTCAAACCCCAATACCAAAAACTGCATGCTGTGGAAGGGCAGTGCTTGTGGCTCTCTCTTGGCCACTGTGCTGCTGTTGATGTAAATTTTACACACGTTACAAATCCTTCAGAATGTGTTTTTTGTTTTGTTATTTTTTGAGGCACTGGTGTTTGAACTCAGGGCTGCATGCTCACAAAGCAGGTGCTCTGCCACTGAGCCATGCCTCCAGCCCTTTTTGCTAAGGTATTCTGGAGCTAGGTCTTGCTTTTTGTCCATACTGGCCTGGACTGTGATCCGTCTATTGTATACTTCCCACAGTAGTTGGGATGACAGGTGTGGACCACTGTGCACAGCCATTGGTTGAGATGGGGTCTCACAGACTGTTCACCTGCCTAACCTCGACCCATGATCCCCCTGATCTTAGCCTCCCAACCTCCCAAGCAGCTAGGATTACTCATTCTTTTTATTTATTTTTTGACAGTTTTTTAAAGAGCCAGGTGTGGTGGCACATGCTATAATCTCAGTACTTGGGACACTGAGGCAGGAGGACTGCGCAGTGATAGTGCTTTTTGTTTTTAAAGCCCTTCTGTTACTGAAGTATAATAGATGTACAATACACTGCACGTATTTAAGTGTACAGTTTCTTGGTTCTGGGGTTAGAACCCAGCGCCTCACACATGCTGGCCAAGTACTGAGGCGCGTCCCAACCCCACGTGGAGTTTATGTAAATGAACTCATAAAATACATATTCTAGCTTTTGGTCTGTTTTCTGTTGCTCAGCTTATTTTTTTTCTCCAGTACTGGGGATGAAACCCAGTGCCTTGTGCATACTAGCTGTTACAAATAAAGTTGTCAAAAACATTTGCATAGAAGTCACTAATTACTTTGTCCGCCCTTGAGTTTCTTTTTTTTTTTTGAGGTGATAGGGACCAATTGCGGTGCCTCATGCACGTAAGGCAGGTGTTCTAACACTGAGCTACACCTCCAACCCTGTTTACTTTTAGTATAATTGTGTGTGTGTGCGACAGGGTCTCACTCCATAGCCTTGGCCTCCCATTACAGGTGGATGTCACCATGCCTGGCTAATGTCATGTAGTTTTGTTTTTGTTACACTGTCCCCTTTTTCTGCTCTATGAGGCTGTTCCCTCTCAGGAAGCCCCTCACAGTGTACTCCCTCCAAAAGTCCCCTTTGGTGCTTCTTGCCATTTATTTCCATGGAAGATACTTTAGTGAATTTCACAGATGGTCCCCAGTTTTGCTAAGTAGCCAATGTCCCTTGCAGTCCTTCAGTGGTCAGTGCTACCGTGTGACATGCAGTGGCATTGGTGTGGCTGCCTGCCACACCAACTTCCCAGACCATGTGGTGCTTTTTCCAACTTGTTAAGGGCAGTGATGGCCGTGTGGCCGTATCTGTAGAAAGCCTGCAGCAGGCAAGTCTCTGGGTCTCAGCTGTCCTTTCCAGGTGACTGGTGGCTGCTGTCTGGAGGTCTGCAGGTACATGTTGATTTTGCCACAACAGCTCTGCTCTCAGCAGACCCCTTGTTCCAAGATTTGTGTCATGTGGACATAGAGCTTGGAGCCCACCATGCACCTGTTGTCAGCATTCGGTGCTTGCCTGGCGAGCTGTGTCTCACGCTGCTCTGACTTGAGGTGTTTCTGTTCACCTGCGTTTCTTATGTGCTGCCCCCAGGACTGAAGAGGGTCACGGGTGGGTTCAACTCCAAGAACAAGTGTGATGCTAGGACCTACTTCTACATGCTGCCCACCTTTGCCTTTGCCCACAAGGACCGGGATGTGCAGGATGAGTCCTACCGCCTGAGCCCCGAGACCCTGCAGCAGGTCAACAGACTCCTGGCCTGCTACAAGGGCACCCACAACTTCCACAACTTCACCTCGCAGAAGGGGCCCTGGGAGCCCAGCGCACGGCGCTACATCCTGGAGATGTACTGTGAGGAGCCCTTTGTGCGGGAGGGCCTGGAGTTTGCAGTGATCAAGGTGAAGGGCCAGAGCTTCATGATGCACCAGATCCGGAAGATGGTCGGTCTAGTGGTGGCCATCGTGAAGGGCTATGCCCCCGAGAGTGTGCTGGAGCGCAGCTGGGGGGAGGAGAAGGTGGACGTGCCCAAGGCACCTGGGCTTGGCTTGGTCCTGGAGAGGGTGCACTTTGAGAAGTACAACCAGCGCTTCGGCAGTGACGGGCTGCACGAGCCTCTGGACTGGACACAGGAGGAGGGGAAGGTGACGGCCTTCAAAGAGCAGCACATCTACCCCACCATAGTCAGCACTGAGCGGGATGAGAGGTCCATGGCCCAGTGGCTTAGCACCCTGCCTGTCCATGACTTCGGTGCCACAGCACTTGCGGCAGCCAGCACAGGCGCCAAGGTAGGACTGGCCCATAGTGTGCACACGTGAAGGCCTGGCAAACACTTGTCCCTATTCCCAGTGTATGCCTAGAGCCCAGAGAAGTGTCATTCCCCACAGTCACACAGCAGTGGGGGAATGGGCCAGGGCATGGAGCCAGATGTTCAGCCCCCTCAGGACATGCCTCCTGGCACCTCCTGCTTGCTTCCCCAACTCAGTGTTTTGTGACCCCAGGCACTTGTCACTGAGCTGGACAGCTGCTAGGCTGTCCTCTGGGTGTGGCTCCCTGACTGTGGGGCCTTGGGCTGTGTGTGTGTGTGTGTGTGTGTGAATATGGGTTGCTTGTGCCCCAGACACCATCTCCTAACAGCCTTTTGCATCTGTTAGTTAGGGCAACACTACTCTTTTGGTGTGGGGTCAGCTCTGGTGAGTGCTTGGCACTGTGCCCAGGACCTTCCCCAGGCTGAGCCAGCCTCAGGGTCAGGCCTGCTGCCACCCACCCGTGAGGAACCTGGCACAAGTGAAACTCAGCCACTGCATAGTGACCAAATATATTTTAGACTGAGAGGGGGCTGCCTGATTCGATTCTAGATGGCCTAGAAGGGCCAGTGATGGGTTGGTAGGGCTTGCCACGTGAGGGAGTGCATGCATGGGGGCAGGGATGACCCCCACAGTCCTTTCCCTGTTTGCCCCTCTTCTGCAGGTTCCCAGTTCTCTGGAGGGCAGTGAAGGGGACGGAGATACCGACTGAGGCCACAGGAGCTTCCACTGCCATGGGCTGTCCAGAGGCCGGGATCTCTGTGCCGTGCCTGTCACCAGGACACTGGAGCTAAGAATTCTGGGGCCTGCCTGCTGGATGTGGCCTCACTCCATAACCTCAGGATCTTGAAATTTCATCCCTGCCTCAGTCTCATTTCAGCTCATGCTTTATGTGTACACACCTTGGCATAGAAAAACTATTTTTTTAAAGAAGTGATTTTCTTATCAAATAAATATAAGTTTTGCTTAGTGAATCCTTTTCCTTCTTTTTTATAATTGTCTAGAGAGGAGTGGAACACTGCTGTGTTAAGAATAGACAGTTGAGCCAGGTTCTGGTGGCTCACACCTGTAATCCTAGCTACTCAGGAAGCAGAGATCAGGAGGATTACAGTTTAAAGCCAGCCTGGGCAAATAGTTTGCAAGACCCTATCTTGAAAATACAAAATACAAAAAAGAGCTGGTGGAGTGGGCCAAGTGGTAGAGTGCCTGCCCAGCAAGCATGAGGCCCTGAGTTCAAACTCCAGTACCACCAAAAAAACCAAATCCACACACAAAAACAATAGACAGTTGGATAAGACAAAGATGGTTGGTTGAGGCAGGCAGGCAGGCAAGGTAGGCAAGGTGGTTGGGTGACAAGGGGCAGGGAGGACAGTAATGGTGCACATCACCTGCTGCCACCATGCCCTGTTGTCTAATCCTATACTGTCTGTACCTCCTTGAAGTGGTTACCTTGACGTGGCCAGCCCTGGCTGTGGCTTCTGCCAACTTCTGGCCTTCTGAGCTGTGGGGAGATCCCAACTGGGCCCCCTGGTGTGCTCAGTGCCCTGACATCTCCCTGGCTGGCACCCCTCTCCTCTGGTTCAGTTCTTCCCCTCATTCAGTCCACTTGCAGTCCCTTCCTGCATGTGGCCTGCCCCCACCTCAAAGTGTCAGGTGGAGTTGCCCTTCTTCCCTATCTTGTTGCCTTCCTCTACTACAGGGCAAAGACTTCCCTCCCACGCCTGTGTGAGCCCCTCTTAGCTGCATCTCTCTGCCTCACCGAGCCCTGCACAGGTGGCTGCTCTCCTTCTGCTAACTGGTATTCCCCTTTTATGGGGAGAGTCTTCCTCCTTTTTCAAGTTTCTAAATATGTGCAGTGCATCCATCACTGCACTGCACAGCCTGCATTTCTTTCTTATTTGAAAATTATTGACAAGTGTCTGGTTGTGTTACCCAGGCTGGCCTGGGAATCCTGGGTGGCACTGGGTTTTGAACTCAGGGCCTCTAGGTTGCTAGGTAGGCACTCTACAACCTGAGCCATCCCCCAGCCCATCCTAGTCCTAAGAGGGTGAAGTGGTGTTTGATATGGGTTGTTTTGGTGGGACTGGGGTTTGAACTCAGGACTTGACACTTGCAAAACAGGCGCTCTACTGCTAGAGCCGCATCTCCAGCCCTGATCATTGTGTGTGTGTGTGTGTGTGTGTGTGTGTGTGTGTGTGTGTGTTTTCTGATGGTATGGGTTTAGAACTCAGGGCATCACGGTTGCTGGGTAGGTGCTCTACAACTTGAGCCACGCCTTCAGCCCTGTTTTGACCGGGTTTTGCTACTTAGCACAGGATGGCCTCCAACTCCCAAGTGCTGGTGTTTCAGGCTGTACTCAGGCTTTTAGTCGTCGTTTTGATTTGCATTTCTCTAATGCCCGATGTGGCCACGCCCTTGCTCGCTCCGAGCTCGCTCGAGCCCGCCCCAAGTCTGCCCGAACTGTCCCGAGCCCGCAGGCCCCGCCCCACGCGGGGACGGCCACGCCCCGGCCCTTCCGGAACTCACTGGGGCTCCTCCCCCGTCCCGAATCCGCTCGGATCCACCCGAGCCCGCAGGCCCCGCCCCTCGCGGAGATGGCCACGCCCCGGTCTCCCCGAAGCTCGAAACAGCCCGCCCCGAGTTCGCTCCAAACCCGCCCGCCTTTGCCGCGGCTCCTGCCCCGCCTCGGGAGCCTTTCCAGCGGTCCGACAGCTGCTTGGCGTCCAGCGCCCTCCCTCGGTGGAGAGCGGCGCCACAGTTCCGGAGCTGCGCGTCCCTCCCCGCTTGCCGTAGCCGCCGCGCCGCCGCTTCCTGCGTCCGCAGACCCGGATGCGCCGAGCTGCTGTGGCGAGCTCGAGCCTCCCGCTGTCCGGTCGCCGCGGAGCGCGGCCTGGAGGTCCAGGGTGAGCGGGGCAGCGGCGGCTGGTGGTGGTGGTTTGTGGCGGGGAGGTCGGACTGGCGGGCGGGCGTCAGGCGGCGGGGGCGCTCGGGACGGCCGTCCGCGTCGCTTCGCGTAGGGCCCAGGCCGCAGCGGCGCTTTGTGGAGGGCGGGCGGGGCCGAGGGGGCGGCGGCGGCGGCGGCGGCGCGTTGTGCGAGGCTCGGGGGCCCCGCGTTCGAGCCGAACCCCGCGCGCCCGGCGTCCTGCGGCCTCCCGCCCCGGCCGCCGCACCGTTGCCCGCCCGCCTCCTCGCTCGCCCGCTCGCTCGCGTCGCCCGCGCTCGGCCGGCGGTGGGCGGCTTCCCGGGCGCTGCGGGACCCGGTTCCTCCGCCGCGCCTCTCCCCGCCGGGGCGCCGCCATGGGGTACGGTCCCTCCCTGGCGGCCTGCGCGCGTGGTATTCGGAGGACTCGGAGTTGTGCGGCGTCGGTGCAAGAAAATGGCATCCTGGGGGCGGCTGGGAGCGGCGGCGACGCCGGAGGCTTCGCCGTCCCCCTGCTTTCCAGCCGGGCCTCCGGCGCGCTCCCACCTGGCTGGGGTGCCGCACGCGGGGCCCCAAAATGCGTTTCAGAGCTGTCCAGAGAGAGGCCCAGGCCGCTTTCCTTATGGCCCCTTATTCTGTCCGTGCAACTTGGCAAAATCAGTGGGGATCACGGGGACATTTGATGCTCCATAACCGCAGTTGGTGTGACCCCAGGCCGTTAAAACGGTCGCCGAGCCCTCCCGGCCCCGCACTCTATGAGTCGTCTTCTCTCCCCACTGCGGGCCTTCCCTCGGTCCTGAGTCCCCCAGCTGCTTCCAGGTCTCGGCAGGCTCCCCGCTCCCTCCCTCCCTTTTTTTTTTTTTTTTTTTTTTTGACGGTACTGGGGTTTCAGCTCCGGGTTTTACGCCCCACACCTCCAGTCCATTTTGCTCTGGTTAATTTGGAGATGGGGTCTCTAGAACTGTTTGCCCGCCTTGGCCTCAAGCCTTGGTTCTCCTGGTGTCAGTTTCCTAAGTAGCTAGGATTACAGGCATGGACTACCAGCACCCTGTTCCTCAGCGACTTTTTAATTCTTTTTTGGTGGGAGTGGGGTTAGAATGTAGGGCCTCACTTTTTTTTTTTTTTTGCAGTACTAGGGCTTGAACTCAGGGCCTACACCTTGAGCCACTCTACCAGCCCTGTTTTTTTGATGGGTTTTTTTGAAATAGGGTGTGGGGAACTATTTGCCCAGGTGGGCTTTGAACTGCTGTTTTCCTGATCTCTGCCTCCTCAGTAGCTAGGATTACAGACAGGTGTGAGCTACCGGTGCCCGGCAGCACCTCACTTCTCCAAAGCAGGTGCTCTGCCTCTTGAGCCCCTCCTCTAGCCCCCCTCTTACACCAGGAAAGGAGAGGACTTTGTGTGCGCACTATCACCGTTTAGTTTCCTCGTCTTTCTCTGCAGCAGCTTCAGTTAGGCATCCCATTCCCACCTCTCCGTGGAAACCATTTCTTCTGGGTTGCACATTGCCAGTCACCTTGAGTAGACTTTACCCTGGATATTCCTTGAGGCACCGTTGTCCTGTTCTGCTGCTGTCTGCTGACTGCTGCTCCAGACGGCTCTCACCCTCCTCCCCCCGAATGTTTGGGGCCTTGCATCCTCAGATCTCTGTGCACCTGATCCTGTGCAGGACTATCCATCACGCTCAACACGGCCTGTGCATGGATTCCCTGGCTGGACCCTCCCATCCTGCACTGCCACTGTGAAACTGCACAGTGTGAAACCTGCTTGCACACTGGATTGTCCAAAAGGCTACTTCCTTTCAGCTGCTTCAGTGAGAAAGCCTTACGGTGGCTGGAGTGTGGCTCAGTGGCACAGTGCTTGCCTAGCATGTGTGCGGCTTGGGATTTGGTCCCCAGCACATTACACACAATCCCTTTATAGTGATCTGTGTATTTCTTCCACAGGCTGAATCTGTTCTCTCAGCACTTTCCACATCCCTGTCAAACCTTACTGCTCTGCAGTTTACCCTCTTGAACTTGTGATCCACCTGCCTCGGCCTTCTGTGTAGCTGGGATTACAGGTGTGTGCACTATGTTCAGCTCAGTTTACTCTCAGTTTTCATCACTGCATGGTATTTTTACAGTAGAAACCAGATGCTGTACTTCTCAAAGGCCTCCATAGTTTCTCATCTCCCTCAGAAAAAACAGAAACAAAAACCCAAAGTCCTTAAGTCCTTGAGCACTTAGGAAATACCGTGTATTGTGTGCGGTGCTGGGGATTGAACTGAGAGCTTTACACTCGCCAGGCGAGAGCGCTGCCACTTGAGACACAGTCCTTTTGCATTCAGTTTGTTTTTCAAATAGGGTCTTGGGCTTTTGCCTATCTGGCCTCAAGCCATAATCCTTCTCTCTCTGACTCCTGAGAAGCTGGGGTTACAGGTGTGTACCACCATACTTGACCCTGTTTGTATAAAGTGCTTTGTGCTTCTTCTGTGTAGTCACGTTCCAGCATCTCATGTCCCCTCGCTCCAGCCACACCTCCTTCTGGGCCTGGGCACATGCTGCCTCTGTCTAGAACCTTGCACAGTCGTGAGTCTCACCCACCCAGTCAGTTATTTTTTCACAGTCCCCTCTCAGACAGGTCTTCTCTCATCTCCCTGCCTAAAGACAGCTTGTTCCGTTTCCTGATCATTTCTTCCATTGCATTTAGTACCTGGTACTCTGCTCTGATTCTTCCCCTTTCTTGGGAGCAGGAACTGTTTTGTGTTCAAGTGTATCCTCCATGTCACAGTCTCTGTGACACATAGTATGTGCTCAGTATTTATTGGGTAAATAAATTAATAAACTATTTTGTTTTGGTGGCACTGGGGTTTGAACTCAGGGTCTCACACTTACTAGGCAGATGCTGTTACCATTTCAGCCACTCTACTAGCCAGAAAAAATTATTTTCTAAACCAGGTGGATTTAGCAGGGAACTTGGCATACAGATGTAATTAAGACATAAGGTGACACTGAAGTATAGGTGACAGTTTGCTCTTGAGTTAGAGGAGGAAAGCTGGCGCTCTGAGTAGGACAGGGCCTTGCAGTAGGTGGGCTCATGTGAATGAGGGAGCAACTGTGCCCAGCTGAAGGCTTAGGTGGTGGGCCTTGCATTCCTTTTGTTCCTGGTGGTGGCCTTGAGGTTTGGTGTCTCTCCCCAGGGACCATCCATAGATTTTTTTTTTTTTTTGCATTGTCGAGTTCTCTTGTATGTACTCCTGGTTTTTCTTTTTGCCTCTCAGCTCCCAGTTGTGTTTCAGGGTTATCTTGCCTGAGAAGGAATCTTTCCTTTTCTGACCCAGCTCAGTCTCCAGGGCCCACAACAAGAAGTAGATCATCCGTTCCCACTGAGGTTCTATAGTTCATGTTGGTGCTCAGTTGTTGGGTTGACCTGTGAATCATTGGCTACAACCTGTGGTGCATGCTGGTGGAGTGAAAGAGCAGGGACCCAGCCCTGGCTCCCCACCATGTGCTGGGGGATGGAATTTCCACTGGTTGGAGCCGGCACCCTTTGCCTGTAAGCAGCCTGTTCTGTGGTTTTTGTTTTATTTCCAGTCAACAGGCATTGTTTTGGGCCATACTGGGATTTGAACTCAGAGCCTATTAGTTGAAGGCAGGCACTCTTACGGCTTGAGCCATACCTCTGGTCCTTTGCTCTAATTATTTTGGAGATTGGGTCTTGCTTTTTCACCCAGTCCAGCCTGGACTTTGATACTCCTGTTTGACGCTTGCCACTGTGCTGGATGACAGGCACATGCTACCATGCCCAGTTTTTTTCCACTGAGATGCGGGTCTCACAGACTTTTTTGCCTGGATTGGTGTAGCTAGGATTAATTACAAGTGTGAGCCACCCACACCCATTTGTTTTTTTCCTTATGGTACTGGGGTTTGAACTTGGAGCCCTCAGGCACTCTACCACTTGAGCCACTCTGGCAGCCCTTTTTTTTTTTTTTTTTTCTTTTACAATTTTTTTAAATGCCTTTTTAAAGAGCTAGGTGTGGTGGCACGTGCTGTAATCTGAGCATTTCAGGACACTGACACAGGAGGATCGCAAGTTCAAGACCAGCCTGGGCTGCACAGTGAGACCCTGTCTTTAAAAAAGAAAAAAAGCTTTTGCTAGACCTGTGGCTCAAGTGGTAGAGCGCTTTCTTAGCAGGTATGACACTCAGTCCAAACCCCAGTACTGTTAAAGAATAAAAAGGTTCTGTAATTGAAGTATAATAGATGTACAATACACTGCACTACACTTAAATAAAGTGTACAGTTTCTTGGTTCTGGGGTTAGAACCCAGGGCTTCATGCATGCTGGGCAAGTGCTGCACCGCCGAGCCACACTCTAGTACCGTTTACTGCCCAAAAACTGTGTTGTTTTTTCCTATCATGATTTTTATGTGAAATTCAAAGATAAATTAAGGATTCAAGGAATTTTACAGTGGACACCCACCACCTGCTTCCTCTGAATTTCTGTCCCTACTTTATCACACATCCCTCTACCATCCATCCACCTTTTTAAAAGCATTCTTATGCATTACAAAGCAAGTGGAAAGCATTTTTTTAAACATGTTCAAATATTTTCATTTTGTTTTTAACTCTTAGGCAAAGGTAATTTCTATGAGTTTTGTTGTCTTTCAAGTTACTTTCTTTCGGGAAGACAAAGATGGCTTGAAAATGGCCCTTGAATGTGGGTTCTTAGGGAATGAAGGTAGAGAACATTCTGTGAGCGGGAGTTGTAAAGAGTGATGGTGCTTTTGTGGGAGGGAGGTGTTTTTGTGGCTAGACCTGGAGTGGTGGGGGATAGGGAGCTGCAGGGCTTTCTGGTATAGCTGTTTCCACTTAGCCCTAGCTCTTGCTAAGCTGCCTTTGCTTAAGAAGACATGATGGCATTTCATGGGCACATCCAACACCAGCTGACCAACACTGAACATGTCAGCTGGCACTCTGCAGGCATGCTCTGTGGGCTGGTGGAGCATGGTTTACTGAGCAGGTGAACCTCTTCCTCCATGCTTGTGTTTTTTAATCCTGTGTGGCCATTTGTCAGGCTGCCAAATTTACCTGTTTTGGCTTTCAGTGGTATGAGTGTGTTTGTCTGTCAGCATCTTGGTTTGTAAAGGTTGAATTAAAATTGACAGTTAAAACTGAGTTAAAGTTGATCATTTGGGAAATGCAGACCCAAACCAGTGTGAGATACCATCTCACACCAATAAGAATTACGGTTACCCAAAAGACAAAAAAATAATAGATAATGGAAGATGTGGAGAAAGGGGAGCTCTGATGCATTGTTTTTAGGCATGTAAAGTAGTACAGCCAGTATGGAGGTGTCTTAAAAAATTAAAAATGGAGCCTACCATATGATTCAGGAGTCCCACAGCTGGTATGCGTCCAAAGGAAATGCAGTCAGCACTTGTTCCCAACAACCACGATAGGGAATCAGCCTAGGTGTCTGCAAATGGATTAATGCTAACGAGAATGCAGTGGAGTGTTACTCAGCCAGGAAGAGAATGAGCTCTTGCTGCAAAATGGATGGAACTAGTGGACATTGTGTTAGATGAATGAGCAGACACAGAAAGCCAAGTAACACATGATTGTGCTTATTTGTGGAGTGTAGGGCTAATCTCATAGGAGTCTAGAGTAGCATAGTCTCTAGAAAGCAGGAGGTGGATGGGAGGGGGATTGAGAGGCTGAGTGATGGGTGCCATGGCACACTTAGATGGGAAGAACTTGTTCTCTGCAGCATCCTGGGATGAATGCAGTCTGCAGCATTCAGGAGGCATATTAAAGGAGCTGGAAGAGTGCAGGGTTCCCACCACTTAGAAATGATCTGGCCACGGTCTAATTGTCACAACGTGAGTGCCCCATAAGCCTGTACAAGTACTATGTGCCATTTAAAGAAGCTGAGTTAAAATAGGAACAGCCAATTTAAAACTTGCTTTGCTGTTGGTGGTTCCCTGCACTGTATTTTTGGGAAGTACTTTTTTCCCCCGCTTGTGCTTTCTTCCTTCTTTCCCTCTCTCCCTTCCTTCCTCTCTTTCTCTTTGTTTTGTTCTCTCTCTCTCTCTCTCTCTCTCTCTCTCTCTCTCTCTCTAACTTGACTGTAAACTCATTGAGATCAGGAGCCATTTCTTTAAAAAAACTGAAGTGTAATTTACATGCAGTGAAGCGCAGTTATAGACACTGCCTCCCTCCCCTGAATTCCCTTGTGCCTCTCTGAAGTCAGCCTTCCCCACATTCAGCCCCTTTCGTGTTCTCACCTCACCTCTGTGTCTGTGGTTTACCTCTTCCAGAATGCTCTGTGAGTGAGTGGGCTCCTGGCTCTGCCCCTCGGGCTAGTTTTGCCCGTGGCTGTTGGGTGTGGCAGTCGTGCCTTCTGTCCTCGACTTGCTGATTGCTCCCTGTGTGGCTCTACCACAGGCTCGTCTGTTCATCAGGCACAGGTCAGTAGTAACATTTTGATGTATTTCCATGGATTGTTACTGATATGTGTGTTGGTGTATGTATATATATCTGTTTTTTTTCTTGAAATAATGGGGTTTGAACTGAGGGCCTCATGCTTGCTAGGCAGGCCCTCTACCACTTGAGCCACACCTCCAGCCCTTTTATTGCATTAGTTATTTTTCAGGTAGGGTCTTTTGTATTTGCCCATGGCTGGCCTCAAACTGTAATCCTACTGTCTATGGCCTTCTGTGTAACTGGGATCACAGGCATGTCCCACCAGGTCCACTTTATTGATTGAGATGGGGTCTCACTGACTTTTTTTTTTTTTGCCCAGACTTGCCTTGAACCATGATCTTCCAGATGTCTGCCTCCTGAGTAGCTGGGATTACAGGGGTGAGCCATCATGCCTGGCTGTACATTGGATTTTTGAGACATGGTCCTCACTATGTAGATTAGGCCGGCTTCAAACTCAAATCTTGCTGCCTTAGCCTCTAGAGAACTGGGATTACAGATGGGTGTCACCATGCCTGGCTTGTTATTGATATTTATTTGCCTTAATTATTTATTTTTTATTGTTAGCGTTGTTAATATTTTTAATGTGGTAGTAAATGCGCTGCATAATAGTACTCCTCTCTGTGTTACTACACATTTCTCATCTGGAACTCAGAGCTTTTTGCTTTTATTGTATTATTCTGCAGTGAATTCACTTTTTTCCCACTACTGGGTTCACGTCCCAGCCCTTTTTTGCTTTAGTTATTTTTCGGGTAGGATATTGCATTTTTGCCCAAGGCCAACTTTGAACTATGCTCCTCCAACTTCTGCCTCCCATAGCTGGGATTATTGGCACACCACCAACATTCTTCCTTAAACCAATGCTTGCTTATTGGTTGAGATGGTGTCTCACTTTTTTTTAGAGAGTTTTTTTTCTTTTGGTGGTACTGGGATTTGAACTCACGGCCTCATGCTTGCTAGGCAGGCACTCTAGTCATTAGCCGTTTTTTGTGTTGGGTATTTTTGAGCTAGGGTCTCGAGAACTGTTCGCCCTGGCTGGCTCTGAACCATGATCCTCCTGATATCTGCCTCCTCGGTAACTGGCATTATAGGTTTGAGCCATGCTGCCAGACCCCCTTTTTTTTAATGCCTGGGCTAGTCTCCATCCTGAGTCATACTGATCCATACTGATCTCTACCTCCCAGTAGCAGGGATTATAATATATGAGCCACCAAGCCCAGCTCTGCAGTGAATGTTTTTTTTTCACAATATTTTGAATCAATAGGTTAATTTCCTTAGGATAGATTTCCAGAAGTATGATCACTAGGTTAAAGGTTTGGGGTCACTTGGTCCCTACCACATTGGCACTGACTGACTGTAGTTCCCCTTCACTAGGCATTTTTTGGGCTGAGAACTAAAGAGCTCTTTGTCTTCCCAACTTGCTTTCCAGTTGCTCCCCACGTGAGCAGGATCAGTGCCAGTTGTTCTGTGGCTTATGTTAAAACCAATTCTGGAGCCAGACTCTGGTGGCTCACACCTGTAATCCTAGCTACTCAGGAGGCAGAGATCAGGAGGATCACCGTTTGAAGCTAGTCCAGGCAAATAGTTCCCAAGACCCTATGTCAAAGATACAAAAAAGGGCTGATGGAATGGCTCAAGTGGTAGAGCACCTGCCTACCAAGTGTAAAGCCAGTACCACCAAAAAAAAAAAAAAAAAAAAATTAAAGGAATAGAAAATAAAACTGAGTCTGGGGAATGTTTTGCATTGCTTTCATTAGTGGTAAAGCTGCACCCTCTCCTCCACACTGCTAAGCTGGTGTTTATCTCCTTCACTAAGGGTCTCTTCCTGCCTTTCATTTCCCACTGGAGTTTGTGTTTCTGACTACTTGCATGATGCTTTCCACAGTGTTGCCAGTAGTCCTTTGTCACACTTACTTCAGATGTCCTTTCCAAGGTGGGTCGCACTCTGGGCCGTGCGCATGGTAGACAAGCACTGTGCCATGCAGCTGCATCCCCAGCCTTACTTTTGAAATTGTATGTTTTCACTGTAACCTCATTATTTTTAGGGTTAGAAAACTGAATATCTTGCAGAGATTTAGTAAGTATTCACATTTGTATTCTTCGAGGTTTTCTGTTCTAATTTTTTTTACATTTAGTATAAAGCTTGGAGTGTTAGCTTATTAAAATGCTTAGTTTATTTTGAATTTTGTGATGGGAGTTTATGTTGAATTTTTTTTCCATGATTCAGTGTGTCATCATAACTTTATATCTCCATTCTTTGCTCTGGCTTTGTGAATTATTTTACCTTTTTTTTTTAGTGGGACTGGGATTTTGAACTCAGGACTCCATGCTTGTAAAGCAGACACTCCTTGAAAAAAACAGGTATTCTACTGCTTGAGCCACACCTCCAGTCTGTTTTGCTCTGGCTATTTTGGAGATGGGGCCTCAGGAACTATTTGCCTGGGTTGGCCGCACACCTCAACTCTCCTGATCTCAGCCACCCAAATAGCTAGGATTATAGGCATGAACTATTGGCACTCAGCCCCAGCTTATGAATTCTTATATGTGGGAGACTTTCTTTCTGGCCCTTTATTCTCTCTTACTGATGGCCTTGATATTCTGGGTATTTTCTAAGAAACCAACCCTAAATGTATCATGAATGTGCCTGTTCTATTTGTGTGCCACTTGCACGCTAATCTCCCTTTGTAATGCTTGTTCACAAAGATCAGAAACTGTGTTAGCTCTCCATTGTTGTGACCAAATACCTGAGAAAATCTGCTTAGAAGAGGAAAGACTGATTTTTGCTAATCTTTCGGAGGTCCAGGCCATAGTCGCTTAGCTCTGCTGTCTCTGCGATTGTGGTGAGGCAGAACATCATGGCAGGAAGGACATGGTGGAGCAAAGCTACTCACATCATGGCCTTCGGGAACACAGAAGGAGTGAATGTAGGGAGAGAGCAAGGCCGGAGACAAAATATGCCCTCAGAGGAACGCCCTAGTGACCTTCCACCTGGCCCCCCATACTAGTTTCCACTACCTCCTAAGTGCCACCAGCTGGGGACCAAGCCTGAGCGCATGGCTTTTGTGCACCTTTCAAATCCAAACCATAACAGAAACAAAAGCTTGTTTTGAAAGTGGTATGTGGTCAAAAGCTTCTCCCACCCATATTCATAAATGATACAGTTTTGATTTCATAATATACTCCAACTTGGAACTGTAAGAGCCTTAAAAATTTTGAAACCTTTTCAGGTTATGAAAGATTTCTTGTGCTTGCTTTGGCAGCACATATATTAAATTGGAGTGATAGAAAGAAGACTAGCATGGCCCCTGCACAGGGATGATACGCAAATTCATGAAGGGTTCCGTTAAAAAAAAGCCATTTTTTTTATTCCTTGTCCATTTTCTCATAGAAGTAAGCAGTGGTGCCCTTTTGTCTTGGGGGCAGAAAGAGTCCCTTTGATCCCTGTCTACCCAGGTTCAGGTGGCAGGAACCCTAAGGAGGTAGGGAGCTGCCAGGTAGGACTTGAGAAGTCCCAGGTCAGGCTAGCTCCCCCTTGCTGCTCCGTGCCAAGCTGTGCCTTCAGGGTTCAGATTTCACCCTTGTGCTTTTCCTGAAAACTTGGATGGGACGGAGTTTTATGCCTTCATGGCGGAAGTCAGCTCATCCAAGCAGCAGCTTTCCTTTATATAGGACACTGTCCCAGCTCTCGGAACCCTGGCTCTGAATTGGGTGCCATGTGCCATCTGTCATTGGATTTGCACCATTGTTTCTGTTGGAAGAAAGATACTTATGTGCCCGTGGCCCAGCATGGTGGGGAACAGACAGACTGAGAGCCAGCCTTGTTTACCATCAGCTTCCTTACCTCCCTGCAGACATTGCGTCTCTGGCCCACTCTGGCCCTAAATTGTGCTTGCCCACTTCATCTTTTGCATCTTCGTGTTTTGTTGGCCTACTTTCCTCACTGCGCCCCCTCCCCCTAAACTATTTAGTCCGTTCATACTAAACCACTTTTGGGTTCTTAACCTCTTTGAAACTCTCAGAGAATTTTTAGACCTCTCCGCAGGAGGTTACCCCCTGGAGTGAGAGCGGGGTCCCTGCTTTGTCCCGTTGAGCCCTTTCTTTTGCAGTTTTTCCTGCTCATGTGCTGTTGCGGAGGATGTTGAGCTGAGGCTGTTTCTGCTTTCTGCTCTAGGACTTCATTTTGTATTTCAGCCTGTCAGGCTCTCAGGGCAGGGTCTCATTTGTCTCCCAGTAGCATAGGGTTTACATGTAAGCCCTGGCTTATGGAGTGAATTTAGAAGGGGGAATGGCTGCACTCCAGGCCATGTGGCAGCTGATTAGAACTGCAAGGTATGGATGTTCTCCTCTGGCAGATGCTGGGTAGCCATAGCAGGCACCATCCTCTGTGGAGAGAGGTAGACAGACAGCTGTGCTGCAGAGAGGGGCTCAGCTAGAAAAGGGTTCCCTGGTTCAGAGTTTGGGTGCCAGGTTCATACCCTGCCATTCAGCCTGATGGCTGTCTTTGTGTTTACCATAAGGGCTGGTACCTTAGTCAGCTGATCTCTCAGATGAGGCAGGGGCAGTGCCTTCCTCATGGGATGGCTGTGAGGGTTTGTGGGATGGTGTGGCCAAACATGGCTTCCCTTTAGCTTGGCTGTTGCCATCAGCAGTACACTGGTTGGTCACCTACCTGCTCTTCCTGGACCGTGTCCTGGGTCCTGGCTGAGCACAGCATGGACTCAGAAGGATGCTTTTCTCATCCATATTGAAGGATAGGTCTCCAGTGTTGTCTCTATGCATTTTTTTTTAGGACAATTTTTTTTTTTCCGATACTGGGGTTTGAACTCAGGGCCTACACCTTGAGCCACTCCGTCAGCCCTTTTTTTTGTGATGGATTTTTGTGAGATAGGGTCTCATGAACTATTTGCCTAGGCTGACTTCAAACCGTGATCCTGAGTAGCTGAGTAACTAGGATTACAGGCGTGAACCACCGGCACCAAGCCAGGATGATTACTTTTACTATTTTTTGTGGTGCTGGGGATCAGATCTAGGTCATCATGAATGCTAGGCAAGTGTTCTACCACTGAGCCACACACCATCCTGATTTTTATTATTCTTACACACAGAAACTGAATAACACATTTAATACAGTTTAGTGTTGAGCTTTTCTTTCAACTTTTGCCTTTTCCAGCTTGGCAGTGAGAGTCACAGATTTTGGACCCAGGACACTGGGTCTCCAGTGGTGATGAATCCTATTGTGTATCGCTGTAAGAGAAAGAACTTCTTCATCTTTTGAGTTAACTGTGTGAAGGCTCTGGTGGCCTCACCATCCCAGCCCTGCCTTCCCCTCAGTGATTCAGTAGGAGACCCCATCTTGCTATATAGTGAGCAGGAAGACATCCAGCTCAGTGGGATCCTTGCCATATGCCGTTACCACCAGCTGCGTCCACCTGTTGTCCACAAAGGTGTTGATCCCTGCTCAAAGGACGGGTGGCCTCTTAGTGGGTATATGCCCTTTGCCAGCAGCTTTCTTTTCAGCAGTCTCTGCGTCTCCTGTTTTGTCCCTGATCTTGGGGGCCAGCTTCTGCAGATGGGCAAGTGTTTGGCATCCAAGTCCTGGGTGAACTGGTGAATCTTGGGAGGCGCTTTCATCTGCTTACAGAGAAGAGCCCTTTGGCACTGCAATAGATGTAGTGGGCCATTGACAAATGAGTGAGGTTCCTTGGGCTGCACACCCTGTCTAGTGCCAAGTTCTTAGGCCATTTCCAAATGGATTTACCACCTTCTTGGCTTCCTGCTTCATGACAGCAGGGACTTGAGGACTGGAGCACATCTTCTTTCCTGGGCCTTCTTTCCTCTTGGCATCTTGGGTGGCTGGAGGGAAGATAGGGGAGGGAGTTGTGCGTAATAAATAAGCAGCTTCCTGCATGTTGTTTGAGATGAGTTAATAAGAGGGGCTCTTGTTTGAATCAGACGCCAGTGTCGCTTCAGTGCTGTGAAGTGGTAATCATACTAAATGGTGATCAGATGATTGTATCTGCTTCTCAGTAACTTGATTTTAATTTTGACTTTCTAGAACATTACATTGGATTAAAAAAGAGAAGTGATAATGCACCATGGCAGCGGTCCTCAGAATGTCCAGCACCAGTTGCAGAGGTCCAGGTCCTTCACTGGCAATGAAGAGGAACAGCCGGCCCATCCAAACCTTCCCCCATCCCCTGCAGCACCCTTCGCTCCATCTGCCAGCCCATCTGCACCCCAGTCCCCTGGGTACCAGATACAGCAGTTGATGAGCAGGAGCCCTGTGGCTGGACAGAATGTGAATATCACCCTGCAGAATGTTGGCTCCGTCGTGGGAGGAAACCAGCAGATCACGCTGGCCCCTCTGCCACTTCCTAACCCCACCTCTCCAGGGTTCCAGTTCAGTGCACAGCAGAGGAGGTTTGAGCATGGCTCTCCATCATACATTCAAGTTACTTCCCCCATGTCCCAGCAGGTCCAGACACAAAGCCCTACGCAGCCAAGCCCTGGGCCAGGGCAGGCTCTGCAGGGTGTGCGTGCAGGTGCCCCAGGCCCCGGGCTAGGGATCTGCAGCAGCAGCCCCACTGGAGGCTTCGTGGATGCCAGTGTGCTTGTGAGGCAGATCAGCTTGAGCCCATCCAGTGGTGGGCATTTTGTGTTTCAGGAGGCACCAGGCCTCACCCAGATGGCTCAGGGAGCCCAGGTTCAGCTCCAGCATGCTGGAGCTCCCATCACGGTTCGAGAACGGAGACTGTCCCAGCCTCATGCGCAGTCGGGAGGCACCATCCACCACCTGGGGCCCCAAAGCCCTGCTGCAGCAGGAGGAGCTGGTCTGCAGCCTCTGGCCAGCCCCAGCCACATCACCACGGCGAGTCTGCCACCTCAGATCAGCAGCATCATCCAGGGCCAGTTGATCCAGCAGCAGCAGGTGCTGCAGGGGCAGTCTCTGAGCAGACCTCTTGGCTTTGAGAGGACACCCAACGTGCTGCTCCCCGGGGTTGGGGGCGCCTCGGCATTTGGTATGACGTCCCCACCGCCACCCACCAGCCCTTCCAGAACCACCATGCCCTCAGGCCTTTCCAGTCTGCCCCTCACAACTGCAGGGAACTCAGGTGTGAAGAAGGCCCCCAAGAAATTGGAGGAGATCCCACCAGCCTCCCAGGAGCTAGCACAGATGAGGAAGCAGTGCCTGGACCACCACCACAAGGAGATGGAAGCTCTCCGGGAGGTCTTCCAGGAGTGTCTGATTGAACTGTTCTTCCTGCAGCACCTTCAGGGTAACATGATGGACTTCCTAGCTTTTAAGAAGAAGCATTACGCCCCACTGCAAGCGTACCTTAGGCAGAATGATTTGGACATTGAGGAAGAGGAGGAGGAGGAGGAAGAGGAGGAAGAAAAATCGGAGGTTATCAATGATGAGGTAGGAAATAGCTTAATAATGTAGAGGACCTGTATGGTGCAAATTAGAGCTCTTGCAACAGTAAATTACAAGTAACATTTGAGCCTGGGGTGTTGTAAAGGCTTTGATTTCATAATGATCTAATGGGGAATAAAGTTTGAAGATACAGTTTCTCTCTTCCTTCATGGAGAGGAGGCACCATTCCAGTGCACCTGTGTCGGGCGTGGTGCCTGTGACTAATACCTTCTCAGTACCAGGTGTTGTCACTGAGATTTGGAACCCCTCGGGCAGAGAGCTCAGCCAGTGTAGTCCAAGTTTCCTCACTCTGTCTGGGTGTATGGTCCTTGGCTGACACTGATGCTGTTGATAGCCTTACAGGGAAGATTCTGCCATCAGAGTAGGGAACTTAGCGCCTCTTGCCTGGTTTCCAGGTTTCACTTTGTACTTACATAGGTCTGTACATGATTTCTAAAAAAGGGATTTAAATCACCAGCCATAACTATAAGCCAGTAGGTATGTTTGTGTGGGATTTCCATAATTAAAATATGGTTATTGTGGCAAAACTGAGTTTTTTTTCAATCTTTAGCTCTAGACTTAGATTTGATATATTAGATATTTTAAACTCACACTTTGCAAACATCTATTGAGTGATACTGAGATAGAATCTTAGTTTACTTTTTGAGTATGTAGAATGGGTGCACAATGAAGCCCGCACCGTGGTGGTTCCTAAGGGTCTCTTATTTGTGCTTCCTGAACACTAGGGTGATAGCGCACTGTACTGTGATGCACTGTATTTTGTGCCTTTGTGTTGTGTAGTGTACACTATGTTGGTAGAGCTTATTTTGTTCTATGATATAGATAAAATAAACCTTTGTCAGCCCTGAGCAAAGAAACCAGTTTTTGGTGAGCAAAAGCTCGTCTCTTTGCCCCAGTGCCCTCACTGGCATCTCTGGATGTATCTGTGTGGCTTTGCCATCTGTGTCTTCTTCAGTGCCCTTCCTGGGATGGACCGTTTTTGTTTTTCAGAAGGTCTATTTTTATTATTTCAAGGACTTCACCTTCTAGTGCTATGAAACTGTGGAATCCAGTTCTCTTTATGTTTGTATACCAATGTTGTCTGTAAGCTCAGTCCCCTTATCTGTACTTGTGCAGAAACAAGTCCCTTCAACAGTGTCTGCTGAAGTAGACCTTGGCTTGTGACCCCACATAGTGCACAACTGTGCTGAGGTGCAGATGGCCCAAGAAGCTGGTACTGTATTTGAGTCTGTGTGCCACTCCCACTTTCAAGTTTGAAGTTGCAGATCTAGGATGTTGCCTGTGATTTTAACTGGACCTCTTGAAGATTGGCAGTTGTTAGATTGTTATGCTATGAATCTGTCAGTCAGTCTGTGTCCTTTTATAGGATTTGATGCAAAAACATTCTATTTTTAAACACCTAAATTAGTGAGCTGTCAGCAATGAAATTCTAACAAAATTTTGAGCAGTCTTAAAAATCATGTTGCCTTTTTTTCTCAAAATATTTCTCTCAGGTAAAGGTTGTGACAGGCAAGGATGGGCAGACTGGGACTCCCGTTGCTATAGCAACCCAGCTTCCGCCAAATGTTTCTGCTGCTTTTTCATCTCAGCAGCAACCATTTCAGGTACTTTTTGATGGTTCTAAATTGTAGTCTCATCCCAAACGTTTCCTTCATCCAGATATTTTAACCTTCGATTTACTATTTGCTCTTCAGCATTTTTTTTTCCAGAGCCCATTCCTTATTTTTAAAAAGTAAAAAAAGTCTTCTTGCATATACAGTTATGAAATTAAATTGCATGAGCGAATGACAAACACAGACCTTACTGCATTACTTGTGTGTGTACCTGCAATGTGGTAGTAGCTTTTAGTGTGCATGTCATCTAGTATTCAAAGTCCCCTTGATCGTATGCCCAGGACTCCTGTGTGCTGTGTGTTTAATGTTTGTTTTTCTTGTGTCTTTTACCTGTACTTTGAGAACAGTGCAAAACAGAACAAGAAAAAAAGATTTAAGCAGATGATAATTTGGTATTTGCCTTAGCTGGAGGAAATACTGATGGGAATACCCCGAGACCATCAGGACTGCAGGCTTCTCAGTGGAGGAATTGGGAATGTGAGCTAGTAATGCCAAGGTTTTAAAACACATACCAAATTCTAGGAGATTGGGAATAAATTCTGCTGGGTTCTGAAAGCAGTTTTCATCCTTGGTGATATTTTTTGTTTTTTATTTTAATTTTGATAAAGTTTCAAACACATTAAAGTTGTAACAGTCATACAAAAAACTCCTCTGTGCCCTTTCTTTATCAATTGTTAACATTTTGCTCCATTTGCATTATTTTCATTCTGTCATACATGTGTAACACCATATCATACTCTTCTTATCCCCTTTAAGGATAGGATAAGTAGGATGTGTTACCTTATCCCACAATACAGTGACTAGTCAGGAGATTTCATAGTAATTGGTACTCTCCTGTGAGCCACAGTACATATTTAGGTTTGGTCTCTTGCCCTGAAGATGTCTGTTACGGTTTTTCATTAGCCCAGGTTCTCCCACAATGCACAGTTGTCAGGCCCGTCTGGCCTTCTTTAATGTGGGATGGTTTGTCAGCCATTTGTGAACTTGATGCTTCTGAAGGGTACAGACCAGTTACTTTGTAGAATGCCCTGCTACATGGGACTGTCTGTAGGACTTCACACTTACAAAGGAGGTGCTCTATTGCTTGAGCCATGCCTTCTGTTCAAGTCACGTATTTTGAGAGGATTACCATGCAAGTGATTATGTGCTCATCTCAGAGTGTCATGTTAGAGGCCCATGGTGTCATCTTGTCCTGAGAATGGTGACGTTAACTGAGCACTGGTTAAGGTGGTGTTCACCAGGCCTGTTCAGTGCACAGTTACTTCTTTTTCCTTTTGTGAAATGATAAGTAATGTGGGACTATAAATGTCCTGTATCTCCCTAATCCTGCTAATTCTGGCATCTGTTGATGAGTTGTGTCCAAGTCAGTTGCTCTGTAAAGATCCCAAAGTGGAATTTTCTGCCTTCATCATTTCTTCCACATTTATTAATTGACATCCTCTGTCAGGATAGAATTTCTTTTCCTCCATTGTTAACATTCAATCATGTATGGGATGCTCATTTATTTTTATTTTTTATTTTTTTGGTGGTACTGGGGTTTGAACTCAGGGCCTCACACTTGCTAGGCAGGCGCTCTACCACTTGAGCCACTCCGCCAGCCCGACGGATGCTCATTTTAATCAGTGAATTGTATGTCATGATAAGTATTTGTTTTTGTTTATTTTAACTTAATTTACATTCAGTAAAATTTACTCTTCGTTGGTTTGTATTTCTGTGAGTTTTGACAGATCTGTACAGTGTGTACCCCCACCAAAGTCAAGAAATGGAACAGTGTTTCAACCCCCAAAAGTTCTCTCATGCACTCCTTTGTAACCAGGCTTCTTCCTCCCTTGGCTCGTGTTCTCCAGCTCTGAGATCGCACCTCTCCATGTTGAGGTGCAGCCTTTCCAGACTGGCCCCTGTGCTTTGTGCATTTACCAGTGCTTTGCTCTTGTCGCTGAGTGGTGCTCCTTTGCGTTTCATGGGCCCAGTTTGTTTCTCTTTCACCCTTCGATGGATACTTGAGTTGCTTCCATTTTAGGGATTCACGAACAAAACTGCTATAAGTGTTTACATGAGTTTTTTTTTTTTTTGTATGAACTGGCATTCATTTTATTCGAGTGAATACCTAGGAGTCAGATTGAGTTACATGGTGACGTGTGTGTTCAGTTTTATAGGAAACTGCCGAAGTGTTCCAAAGTCCCTGTGTTGTTTTGTGTCCCAGTAGCAGTCTGTGAGTTCCCGTTGTCCTGCTTCCTCTGTAGGACGCTCTGTTGTCAGTTTTTTAGTCACTTCGATAGGCGCACAGTAGTTTAGTGTGCATTTGTAAGACTGATGATCTTTCACTGCGTTCTTTCACTGTATGTCATTTCTCACCCATTTGGTTTTCATCAAATTGGTTATTGCAAATGGAAAGTTTTTGCATAGTTTGAATATCAAATTTTTTCTCATAAGTGCTACTTGCAGTTTCTTTTCCCTGTCTTTGGTTTACCATTTTCTTCTTTTAACACTGTCTTTTGCAGGACAAATGTTTTAAATTTTGTTAAAGCCCACCTTAATCAGTTGTTAAAAATGGATTGTGCTTTGATAGCTAAGAACTCTGCTCTATCTGACATAAAGATTTTCTGCTTCTGGAAGTTTTTTGTTTTTAAGATAAATTTTAATCAACTCAATTCTCAGGCTGAGAAATTCCCTTTTTTTTTTTTTTAATGTGGTACTGGGGTTTGAACTCAGGCCATACGCCTTGAGCCATTTCACCAGCCCTTTTTTGTGATGGGTATATTCGAGATAGGGTCTCGAGAACCTTCGAACTGTGATCCTCCTGATCTCTGCCTCCTGAGTAGCTGGGATTGCAGGTGTGAGCCACTGGTGCCCAACCCTTTTATTTTTTCATCATCACTGGATGTCGAATTTCTGTACCTTCTTATTTGGGGGAGGGGTCATATTGGTGTTTGAATTTAGAGCCTTGCACTTGGCTAGGCAGGTGCTCTGCCTCTTGAGCCAAGCCTCCAGTCCTTCTCTATTTGTTAATGTGATTTGTGAATTGTCTTCTTGAGTCTGCCAAGTGGCAAATTACCTTAAATTGAGGTATAATTTGCATGGAGGGAATGCAGAGTGTGCTGAGTTTTGACAAGTATCTGTAGAACTCACATGGTAGTCATGATGTTCACTTTTTATTCTTTCCCTTTTTTTCTCTGGTGGGGCTAGGGTTTGAACTCAGGGCTTTGCACTTGCAAAGCAGGTGCTCTTCCACTTGGACCTTTCCACCAGCCCTTTGTGTGTGGGGTGTGTGTGTGGGGGGGGTTTCCGAGTTAGGGTCTCGGACTATTTGCCCGGGGCTAGCTTCAAACCATATCTCTATCTCCAAAATAGCTAGGATTATAGGTGTGAGCC